AACACAGTTTTAACACAATGATATGCCATATTTAAATAGATTTATGGGTTTTATTACAATTTATTGATTTAAATAGACCAACAGGTTTAATATACAATGATATGCCAAATTTAAATAGATTTGAGGGTTTTATTACAATGAATTGATTTAAATAGACCAACAGGTTTAATATACAATGACATGTATTTTTGTTTTAAATTGTGTTATGTATACTGTGAACATCAAGAGTTTATAGATGGTATTGATTTGATAAGAAATATACCTGTATCGATCTGAAGTCTACCTGTAAATCTAATCAATCGGTAATCAGACACACAAAGACAATCTTATTAATAATTTATAATAATTTCTACCTGTCACGCTTTTTTTATTTCTCTTATACAACGTTAACCTGTTGATAGAAAACTGACTTTACTTTACAGGCGAACTGTGCATCTTATAACTATAAAAATAATAATACACGCCCATCGGGGTGAAATTGATATTATTGAGGGTCCCGCGCGGGGGGGGGGGGGGCGGTTACCATAGTGAGCCTAAATGCGATTCCGGGGGCTCTTTTTAATAACCTCTTTTGGCAAATTACTAAAGACCATCCTCTCGATTACCACTTCCAGTTTGGTTGTTTCAATTGTAAGATAGTCACAGAATCGTTCTGCACCCATGGAATCGGACTTGAAATATAAACGTCAATTCTAAATATTCTGTGCTGAGTCACGGTGGCTCGCTCAGTGAGTAGGATGTTGGCTCGATAACCCGGAAGTCCCGTTTTAGAGAAAGTTCATCGGGATTTCCCGACGGGGTTCCCCCTTGTCCGTGGGGTGGGACGGAGGGCCTGGCAAGGGACAACGTGTAGTCCATCGGATGGGACGAAAAACCGATGTCCCGTGTAAACATTGGCGTGCACGTAAAAGAACCCTTGACAGTTGGAATTCGATATAATAGTAGGACATAGCGCCGCTGGCCGGACAACACGTAAAACAAAAATCTACAAGATAAACCTGCGGACAAGACAGAAAATAGACATATTGCACCAAATAAACAAATATATCAAATCAAGTGAATGGATCCGGCGGCCAGCCGTAAGCGTCCACTGCGCTGTACAGTCCCGGGCCTGTAGTGACACAGACTTCACTCAAATTTGAAAACAATCAGGAATACAAAAAAGACCTAACAGAAATAATGCGACCAATCTAAGATGCATGTCAAATTACTTCACTCTGAGCCAAGTTATCGCAGATACAATTACGGTGTAGCCTCGACTGTCATTTCTACCGTTGTTACGATAATAAACGTAGTCTCCATAATCCATTTTACGTGAAATCTTCAACTGCAGATCATATTTAAATCTATTGAAAATCTACAGTATTCTATGGAATCGAGAGTCGATTATGGTCTTGATAAGTTGATTAATATCTTATTAAAGATACATTATGGGAGATTCGATAACGAGTTGGCAGTTTTCACTAACAGCTAGATAATTTGCGGAAAATTTCAGTCAAATTGATCCAATCAGAACCGAGAAATTAGCGATTGAATTTTAGGCCTAGCCTCGATCATCATTATTAAAGTCGGTACGATAAAAAATAAACATAGTCTCGATTATCCATTTTTTTGATTTAATAATCTCTTTATCTAATCTTCCATAATGTATCTTTAAGAAACATGTCTCGGGCAGTGTGTGTATATTAAAATATTTTTCAAACAAAAGACAAATCATCACTGACTGTAAACTACAAATGTCTACCTGTGTTGTACATCTTGTAAAGAGAAAATCCGATCGATATCGATACTGAGAACATCTTTTGAAGAATAGTTTTCATGGATAATGTTTACTTTTACAGAAATATGTCAATCTATCTGTGGTTCAATGGACAACATCCGTCTTGCTGAAGATGAACAGACATTAAAGCTATTGTTTTACAAGGGTCAATCGCCATCAGATATCGTGAATAAAATATTGTTTATAAAAATATACCAATGTGGGGAAGAAATGGAATTTAACCTTGAAACTTTTATTGTCAACACTCACACAATATACTTCAACTAGGTGACAAGTTGTACCATGGCAACTGAAAACTTACAAGAGCTAAGTCTCTAACTCAATATCATCCAAAGTCTTCGACATTGAAAACACAAATTATTTGTCAATTTAAATCAACATTGACGTTGTGATCTTACCGGGAAAAGATGGGCTTCAGATATCCGAAATTTAAGACAATATAAACATTTTACAATTGGTATACGAATCGTGTGCCATAATGCGTTTCATCGCCATTTGTTACAAGTGACTCGCACTCGAAGAACAGGGTTAGACATATTCCACAAGTCATGTCAAACGGTGATATATATACTTATCTGTTATTGTTCTTAGTGTTTAACGTCCGATTCCACCGAAGGTGATATCGCAGACAAGTTGTCTTATTTCCATTGTTATTATCTTAGTGCACGCGCAGAGGTCTTTCCTGTGTGGGAGGAAACCGGAGTACCCGGAGTAAACCCACGAGGTTGAGAAGGCGCCCCTATCTCCAGCTAGGGGTCGAGGCGCGACACTCTTGACCACTAGGTCCCCCCCCCCCCCGCATGCGCAATAAATACTATCGGTGTAGACTGGAATAACCAGACGCTAGAGATTGTCATTCGATTGAAACTTCTGGCGTATTTCGCCGAACATAACAGATAAGAAATTACAGTAAAAACGGAAACGATTGAATGTAAATGAGTTTATATACATTCACATTACATTATTATATGCGCTGCGACCCATTTGTGTCAATTTCTAGGTCCAAAATATTAGAACTTATTTTCACGACAAATGTTTCTTCTATGGCACTGGCTCACTAAAACTTATTTTCACGACGGGTTATGGTGATCAAATTTTTCGGGCATTGGCTAAATGATGAAAAGAATAAAACTTGAGTGGATATAAAGGGAAAAATTAAAAATACAAAACGTTTTACTCCGTAAAATACAACATTGGGGTGAGGAACTTATTTCTTTCTTTATTTATTTCTTTATTTCTTTATTTTTTTTTCTTTCTTTCTTTCTTTATTTTTTATTTATTTATTTTTGTTTTTTCTATTTATTTATTTTTTCTATTTATTATTTATTTATTTATTTATTTATACAAAATCATTTATCTGCTTATTTGTACGATAACTAAAATAATGTAATTAGTTTTTGTCTGTATCATATATACGATGTATACACCCAAACCAGAAGAAAGCGCATTAATATACGCCTACTTGGCTTGTTTTTGTATTCTATTATTTATGCTTTTTACATTGTATAATATTCTCAAAATAAATACTTTTTAAACCAAAGGAAAAATTTGAAAAGCAAAATACGGGACTTTTATTGACCCTGTGTGGAGTGTTGCAATTCCCAGAGTTTCAGAAATTCACACAATTCTGATTTCGATTCAGCGTGTCTACTTCTAAAATTCAAACTGCAGTTCCAGAAAATTCACCACTCTAGTCGCTATACTTGCCGTTATTTTTCGAGATTTTAGTATGGTTATTTTGTTGTAAAGTTATGTCGCCATATTTTTAGGGCAAATATGATAACCCCCACCCCCCGGAAAACGCGGCCCGTTTGGCGTTTACACCAATGTTGTGCAGGATGGTGTATCTGGCAAGAAAAAGCCCACTCGCTGATAGTTGCAAGTCGAATTAGGGGTCTAATGGGCACATGGTCCGCATGATGCGAGCCCGTCTTAATTGACCCGGAATTAGGGGTCTAATATCAAATTTCCCGCATGGTGCGAGCCCGTCTTCATTGACCCGGTTAGAACAGAACAATTCCGGTAATAAATGAAATGAAATGGGGTTTAACGTCCTACTGTTCTGCTCCTAACCTGGGCTAATGAAGACGGGCATACGCCATACAGTGTGCTATGAGGGAAATTTTGGCCGGACAGCGGCACTACGGCCTACTCTTATATCGAATTCCAACTGCCAAGGGATCTTTTACATGCACGCCAATGTGTACACAGGACCTCGGTTTTTCGTCCCATCCGAACGACTAGAAAACCTCTGGTAATAACCGACATTGAATTATAATATATTCCGTTTATCCGAATATTGCACAGAATAAGAATAAATATTATAAATCGGTTGGTTTTTTATGGCTGTACTCACAGAAAAAGATCCGATCTAAAGATAAAACCCATGGTTCTAATGCTGATTTTTATCTGACGTCAATGGGATTCTTTCACCTTATTATAACAATATTATTTCTGGAAGAACGCAAAAATAGCCATAAAGATTTTTTTTTCTAAGATGGCTTTGTCGCGGCCTAACAGACTATGTAGAGAGAGAGACTAATACCTAAAGATGTGATAATAAAAAATCCGATATTTTTGATTGCATTACTCAAATAATAATTTGTCAGGCCTTTTTTTCATAATAAATAAAAAAATAAGTAAATAAATTTTATCAATAAATAGCAAATAAATTTATTCATATTTTTTCATTCACTATGCTATTGGCTTACATTTCTGATTGCATTACTAAAATAATTCTTCAGGCCTTTCTTTATAATAAATAAATAAATAAATAATATAAAATAAATAATAAATTTATTCATTTTTTCATTCACTGTTTGGCTTATATTTATGCTATAAAAATTCACAAATCTATATTTAAAACTATCTTTTCTGGTTGTTCAACTCTCAGATATTGTGAGACTGGATTAATGAATAATAATGTTTAAAAAAAATTGATTTCAGTTTCTAGGGATTTTTTTTTCTCTTCTTTATTTATTTAAGCTTTTTGTTTATCTAATTTTTAAAGAAAATATTTTGGTTTGGTTTTGTGTACTTGAGTTCAAAATAATATATTCCAGCTTTAGTTTCTGGATACGATTAGTTTATTCCAGAAATTGCGTTTATTGCAGCGCACCTTGCTCAGGTAATGCACTTTTATAACTACAACCGGTTTCAATTTAACTCCTTTCGGTTTGGCACCGTGCTGGTTGAAAACGCCATCTAGTGGAATTTAGGTTATTATCAGGCAACTTTTAAAGATCTATGTCTATAAATTATGTACATCTCTAAGCGACAATGACGTTAATTATCAATAATTTATGCATATACCTACATAACTAATTAGCTTGCAATCTGTTTCAACACCCGAATCGATAAAATCAAGGGAAAACGGATAATAGAACAAAGCCGACCAGTTCTTGTTTATCGCGTGACGTCATAGCAGACTTTCAGCCATGATTGATCTAAGACTGGTTAAGAAAAAATCGATCAAACTTTTTACACGGGGCTCGAGCTTTCTCTGCTTATAAATTCACATTAGCGGTAGGCTTGTTAAAAGTAAGACGTTAGCGGGCAATTTAGAGAAAACTTTTAATTAAGTTGGTGGCTAGATTTTAATTTATTAATCCGATTAATTCCGTTTGAAGTCGAGGTTAACTTCATCATGTCGGGTACAAATCGCCGACCACTGAGTGCTCAATCAAGAACTGCTTGGGGAGACGGCATTGACAACTACGGATCTGAGCCTGGACCTCCGGATTCACCAATGGAAAACAAAAATTGGAATGGCAGTCAAAGTGACACCAGGGCTCTGAGCCGAGCTTCTAAACCTCAATCAAAAGGATGCTTCTCCAGAATTTGCGGTGGCATAAGATGTAAGTCCCACTTTTATTCTTTTATAAATGTCTTCTTTTTTTTTGAAAAATAATTTCAAGAACTAGATATATTATATAGAAAGTACAAAATGATTGAAGATGTGTATGCTATAATATTTATAATCTTAGATTCTATTTATTCTAGTTAAAGTAAAGGAATTTTTAAGAACTAAATTCACTGTATGTGTAGGCCAATGTGTTGGGCTATATTTAAATTTAGGGCAGAGTATTTGGCTAGGCCTCATTAAAAATGACTTGGGCAACTGATGGTGGTTCTAGTACTCAGGAATAAAGTTTGTGTTATTAATTTTATTGACTTGACACTCAGCCCTTTTCTTGGGCTTGTTTAATAGATAAAAAAATAATTTTGTGGGTTCCTATTTATTTATTGCACAAAGAAAAGATCTTACACAGTCAATCTACTTTTTTGTATACCATGTTTACAGGTGAAATTGTCAAATATAAAAGATATTTTTGCATTCCATTTGCGCAATTTATCTCTAGATCCCAAAATCAGTCGTCAAAAATAAGATGTTTATTGATTTTGTATAAATATTTGATTGAAGAGAACCCAAAGCACTGACAAATAACAGGATTTAAAAGCCGTCAGACAAGTTCCTGCTAATGTTTGGATCTTGGTGTCATGACAACTATTGATGTAACAGGTGAATCGATTGGTTAAATCGATAGAAATGACAATAGCTGTGGTTTTTAAATGGCTGAAGACAAACAGTACAAGTCAGAAAAATCAATCAATAATATATTGGTACAATACGCTTAAAAAGAATAAAGAATGTTTTTAATCTACAGCTTTTATCTTCGTTGAGATGTTATGCTGCAAATCAATAACCTTGATATTGATTGGTTTAAAAGGCTCAGTGACGGCGGTACCCATAGCAATTATTGCCATGGTGGTTATGGAATAAACATCCAAGTGGCACTTAATATTATAAGCTTATATTATTATAGCTCAATAAAGACAACAGAGAATTATATGGATCTGGTATTATCAAAACATCTGTAACTTTTGTCATTTAGTTTTTTTATTTTCCGGCATGGTTCCCCCTTGTCAGTGATGCAGGACGGAGGGTCTGACCAGGACAGCCATCTAGTCCTTTGGATGGTATGAAAAACCAAGGTCCCGTGTACACATTGGCATGCATGTAAAAGATCCCTTGACAGTTGGAATTCGATATAAGAGTAGGCTGTAGTGCCCTGTCCGGGCAAAATTTCCTCGTAGCACACTCACTGTATAGCATATGTCCGTCTTCATTAGCCCAGTTTGGAGTAGGACGTAAAAACCCATTTCATTTCATTTGGTTTTTTTTTTTTTTTAGCAAAGTAGGATGTTAAACTTCATTTTATTTTTTGAGAAAACTGATTCTCAACTCTCCCAGGTACCATAATGTAGGGAAACGCAATATTGGTGTCACATATACAAAGAAAGAAATCTTGAAATCCAACAAAAAGCAAAAGCATTAGGACTAGTAGTACACATCTTAGTGGCATCCCCACAACCCACCCATCCACCCCTCCATCCATCCATCCATCCATCCATTTATCCATTTGACAGACTTAAAAACAGAATTTAAAATGAATATGTATAGACCAGTTAGATTTGAAGCCAGCCTTACCTAAATTCCTTGAGGCAAATTTCTAATCGATGCTAAGATGTAGTTATTTCTGTTACTTGTGTTTCTTATCCAGAACCAGTGCTGGATTTACAAACAGGTTTGGCAGGCTGAAGCCTAGGGATATAGGGGGCCTTCGACCCACTGTCATTTATATAAGCTTTTCTTACAGACACTGTAATCGTCATCCCTAGCTTTTCGCACTTGTGTTTAAAATACATTTTCATCTTCCTCTAGTCTTGAGGGTGGGAAAATAGGAGGGGCCTCTGACTCATAAAGGCCCCACAAACCGTAAAGATATAACTTAGGACGGCCTCTAACGTCATATGAATTAATAAGTCTAAATGTCCTAGGTCTACAGTTAACAAGAAAACCTTTTTACGTCATTAATTCTACGATTTTTGATATTTTTCAGCATTATGGGCCACACGTCATACAGAGGAGACCAAACAGAACCGAGAATTGTATGTGAAGACAACTCTGCGAGAACTGATTATCTACATTGTTTTCTTGATCATCATCTGTGTCAGTAAGTATACAGGGCAATAGTTTAATAACGCAGGGGTATATTCTTCCTTGTTTAATAACGCAGGGGTATATACATATTCTTCCTTTTTCCATGGATATTTATCCAAGGAGAGAGAGAGAAATGGGGTTTAACGTCCACTCGACTCAAACTAGGTCATTTTGGGACTAACATATGGTTTAATTTTATTTCAATAATTCGCTTGCGCTTAAGAGTCTTTAGCAGTGGGAGGAAACCGGAGGACCCGGAGAAAACCCACGAGGTTTGACAGGCGACATTTATCCAAGGACAAAGGGTAAAAACAAGTAGGGTTGTGCACTTGACAAAATGTATTTCAATACTTTGATCAAGTCAGGGTTTATCACAAAGCACACTTTTATTGATTTTAATTACAACTTTGGTCTTGGATACTTATTTTTTACTGCAAAGCCTAAATAATCTGACTAATTATGAAGTCTTTATAAACAGTCTAGCTAACATTTGAATATAAAATTAAAGGACAAAAATATTGATACTGCAAAAATGTATCGATGCAGTGTATCGCAGATGATCGTATTCCAATATATCGATATAGCAATATTTTTTTTTGACAGCCCTTTTGAAAAACCAGTCAAGATGAATATGTATCCCCTTTAAAATTGATAGGTTAAATTTCTGGACTGTTAACCCATAAGACCAGTGTTCTTTAGTTTTCTTTCTACCTACATCTATTTATTTTTTGTACACAAAATGTTGGGCACAACTCCGGCTTTTGTCAGACATACTGTATAATCCGTCTGGTGTATGTCGTTTTGTGGATACCCTGGTTGTATGTGACAAGGAGTAGGGTTGCCTGGTCCAACCCCTACATGCAGCAAGCGAATTATTGGAATAAAATTGAACCATATGTTGGTCCCGAAATTATTTATTTTGTATCAGGTGGACATTAAACCCCATTTCTCTCTCTCTGATTTTATCAGGAACAGATTTGTGATTTTTATTTATTTCTTTTTGATAAATAAGATATAGGTCTGACACAGAGTTAAAATTGTCAGGTAAAACTGTAGTCACATGCAGGTACATCATTATTCCCAGCTTGGATACAAATTTCAAGAAATCAGAAAATGTCCCAAATGCCCCTACTGTTATTGTTGTTAGACATCTGATTAATTACATCTCGTTTTAAAGTTTGTGAAAGTCTGCTTCCCATATTATGGACCAGATACCTGATTAATTAGGTATTGTGTAATGTTGTGAAGGTTTACAGCAGTAGGTGTGTGGGTCAACAGATGTTGATTAACTACTCTAACAGGTTGATGATAAACAATGTAATTTACAGGTTAATTACAGGTTGATTATGTAATAATTAAGGGAGACAACTGTCATTTATACCTGGAGTAAAACAGGTGTTAATCATGCTTTAATAAATAATGGAAATAGCTCCTTCTCAATAACCGACTGATTTCAACATATATTCATTACATGAGAGAGAGAAATCAGATTTAATGTCCACTTGACACAAACTAGGTCATTCCGGGACTAACACATGATTCAATTTCATTTGCAGAACTTAATTTATAATTTAGATTAATTTGCAGAACGAAAAGGATTAATAGTGTGAGCTCGTTAAGCAGCGCCGATGTCGCCCCTCTCAGTGATTGTAGCGGCCTGATCCAGGCAAAATTAAAGCACACTGCGTGGCATATGCTGTCTTTATTAGCCCAGTTGGTGCAGAAATGTAAGACGTAAAACCCCCATTTCATTTCATTTCATTTCTTGTATTTTAACACTGCGTAGAATGTTTTGAATTATTGAATTAAAATTGAATCATATGTTAGTCCCAAAATGACCTAGTTTGTGTTGAGTGAACCTTAAACCTGATTTCTCTTTTTCTCTCTCTCTAAATGACATATCATGAACATCATTTCATGGCACAACATTTATTTCATCATGAGAGATAGAGAGTTTAACACTTGAATTTTATTTCAGTAATTGGCTTGCGCGTATTGGTCTTCAGCAGTGAGAGGAAACTGGAGGACCCGAAGGTTGGACAGGCGACCCTACTCCATTTCACATACAACCAAGGATTTGAAACCACGCCAGTTGACTCAATGACAGACCTTATAATACAGCACGCACGTGCTAATCATTCGGCCATGTTAAAACATTTATGTGCAGTAATTCGGGATTATCTGATGATTATTTTTGTATTTCAGTTACTTTTGGTATGACGAGTACAACTATGTATTACTACACCAAGGTTATGAGTGATTTGTTCCTGGATACACCCAACTCTAAAGCCGGTACATTCCGAACACTAACAAATGTTGATGACTTCTGGAGAGTAAGTTCTCAATTTTTCTTTTTTTTGTTTATTTTGAATATGACAGTTGGAATGCTAGAGCAATCAACTTTATCCGCAAAGCCGGCTCCAGCGGGGGCCTGTTCGGCTACGACTCGACGGTCCTTGAAACTCCGACGGCTAAACATTGCTTTGAAATCTATCAATGCTAGACATTTCAAGACTATATTATATACACACAACGTTTTGGCAAGATATCACTGGTGGTTATCAAGCATACAAATTACAAATGAGGAATTTGTATGCTTGATAACCACTAGTGAAATCTTGTTGAAACGTTGTATGTATATAATATAGTGATTGTTATCCATAGAACTGTGTTGTGTTATATTATGTTCAATAACTAAATGCAATTCAAAGATTATATTTCAAGAAGTGTTCCGGCTTGGTTCCCCCCTTGTAAGGGGTGCAGGACGAAGGGCCTGGCAAGAGACACTGTATAGTCGATCGAATGGGATGAAAATCCTCATTGGCGTGCATCTAACCGAATCCTTGACAGTTGGAATTCGTTATAAGAGTAGGCCTTAGCAAACTCGTCATAGCAAACTGTATTGTGCATGCTAATTTTCATTAACACAGTCAGTAGTCCTGGCACGCTATATCGTTGAATTGATGTATCGCAATTCACATTCTCACGATTCTCGTATTGAATTGGAAGACACTGAATCGATGTATTGCAATTCCTTTTATGTTTATTTTTTTTGTTTCAGTATGTAACCTGTCATTCTTAATTACCCACATGACACATTATCCATAGGTACACAATTGTCTTGGTCCTTATTGATTCAGATCAATATCTTGATATACAAAAGTTATATTTCTTCAACATTGGCAGGACGTAAAATATCAATTATTCATTTATCCTGTTGTTTTCTTGGTTTTATTGACCTGGTTTTGAATCATGATACAAATCGTAGCATGTGAATTGTAATACATATCGTATTGTACTGACTGCAGTTGCAATACCCAGCACTACCAGTGGGTGCAGAACTGTAGGACGTTAAAGGAGCTAAATTGCTAAAATTTGGGACCTAGAAATGGACACAAATGGGTCGCAACGCATATAATATGAATATAAATAAACTCAATCAAATGGCAATCTCTAGCGTCTGGTTATTCCAGTCTACACCGATAGTATTTATTGCGCATACTCTCCAGATAAGAATTTGGCGTCACCGTTTGATATGACTTGTGGAATATGTCTAGCCTTGTTCTTTAGTCCCTTATTACAAATGACTTGTGGAATATGTCTAGCCTCGTTCTTTAGTCCCTTATTACAAATGGCGCTGAAACGCATTATGGTACATGATTCGTGTACCAATGGTAAAATGTTTATTTTGTCTTAAATATTGGATATCAGAAGCCTATCTTTTCGCCTTAAGATAACAACATCAATGTTGATTTAAATTGACAAATAATTTGTGTTTTGAATGTCAAAGACTTCAGATGATATTGAGTTAGAGACTTACATCACTTTTCTCTAATCTTATGTTCAGGCAATCTGATTAAAATACAGATGTATATTTTGTTTCGTTTTTTTTATACTTTCGATGGCCTACACTACATGAAGATCTGACCAGTTGTTTTGGGAGGTGTCGTCAGAGATCATACGTGCGGCTTTTGACCCTATGACATCAAACATTTGATTAACCAATCAGTATTGATGTTTCTAGTGGATTACCCACAGTTCCGTGCACCTCATGCCAAAAGCTCACCGTAACAGACCGTTTGATTGGCTAATCTCTCACACCATTCAGAACACGTCAATGATAACAACTCTTACAGATCCTGGTGTAGTAAAGACAAGTAAAATGAAATTTTGAACTATAAAAAAAGAAACGAAATAGGATCTGTGTTTTAATCAGATTGATGTTCAGGGAACTATCCACATCCTGACTTAATATTTTGTATTTTCAGTATGCCAAGGAACCTCTAATGAAAGGCCTCTACTGGGAAACATGGTATAACAATGAATCCGTTCCAGAAGCTCAACAAGGCTACATTTATTACGAGAACAAGCTACTTGGTGTTCCACGAATCCGGCAGCTCAAGGTCCACAGTAATTCCTGCGTTGTTCATGAAGATTTCAAGGGTGTCATTCAAGAATGTTTTGATTCTTATGCGGAGGGTATAGAGGACACGAAGCCGTTTGGTCAAAATGGTGTCAATGACAATGACACGGCGTATGTATAAATTTTATTGTATATGTTAAAGGGGCATTATGGGAAATTAAAAAAGGAGTTGACTGTTCTCGCTATAATAGTTTAAAACTAGATAACATAAATAGATCATGCTGAAAATTTTGGTCAAATTATTCCACTCGGAACTAAGCTATTAGCTTTTGAATTTTAGGCTAGCTTCGATCATCATTACTAAAGTCGTTACGATCCATGTTTACGTTTAATTATCCTTCACAAAATGTATTCATATCCGCCAAATATCACAGGCTAGCGATGCTATCGAGAGTTGATTATGGTCTGGATAAGTTAATTAATGTCTAATTAATAATTTAGATAACATTTCAGGCCTAAAGAAAGACCTGTAGTAAGCAGATTTAGCTCTTGCATAATGCATGTTTAACAATCTCAAAAGTCTGTTCACTGATCAACAGTATCGTATTTAGGGGGGTTGTTAATGTTATGAATATTTTTGCAATAAAATATATTTTAGTTACCAATTTTGTTTTGTTCAATTTTAAGCTTCTTTTCTGTTTTCTTTTTCAGATGGAACTATCAAACGGAATCGACTCTGGGCGGCTCGTCACATTGGGGTTTGCTGACAACCTATAGTGGTGCGGGTTATGTGCAGGACTTGGCGTTAAATATGTCAGAATCCGAGAAGATTATCAACAATCTATTTGATAATTTATGGATTACGCGAGGAACAAGAGCGATATCCATAGACTTTACCGTTTACAACGCCAACATCAATCTCTTCTGTGTAATTAGGTAATATATTTCAACTTTTGGTTCATTGTTATCTCCCGCCAAACTTAATAAAACAGTGACAGTCAATTATTTTTTTGAATGGTCAGATATCCTCCCACAGTCTCATATAACAACTATTAGAGAGCAGAAATTTGCCCGTGTATCTGGTATCACTCGTCAATTCAGTCAGTATAGAAGGATAACTCGTGTTTTCCTTTACTTAAATCTGCATTACACCTCTATCGTAGCAATGAACTGTGTGTTAAAATGATATTTGGAACGTGTTAAACCAGTTCTATCACATATGTGATAATGACTGACACCAATATTGTCCTTTAAGGTGTCTGGGTATCTTCCTTTAAATATTTGTTAAATCTGGGATATATCCTTTATTTTAAAAATATTCCTATTTTGTTTTTATTTTTAGATTGTTTATTGAATTCCCTGCAACTGGTGGTGCCATTCCATCTTGGACGTTCCGTACCGTAAAACTGATCCGTTATGTTAGTATCGGTGATTTCTTCATCATGGCCTGTGAATGTATCTTCGTCCTGTTCATCCTCTACTATATTGTTGAAGAATGCCTCGAGGTAAGATCTCAATCTCAATTTCGTGGGGTTTTTTTTATACTACATGAAGATCTGACAGATTGTTTTGGGGGGGTACGTCAGGGGTCGTACGAGCGGCTTTTGACCCGATGACATCAGACATTTGATTAACCCACAGTTCCGTGCATCTCATGCCAAAAGCTCGCCGTAACAGACCGTTTCATTGGCTAATCCCTCACATCATCCAGAAAACCTCATTGATAACAACTCTTCCACATCCTTCTGTAGTAAAGAACCCAGATTAAACGAAAGGCTCCCACACACTCCCTCAATAGCTCAAGTATCAGAAATTAATCCAGCAATGGCCGGATAGGGATTTCTCAGGCCATTGCTTCAGGAATATGGGTCATTTGTTGCTTTCTAAAAGTAGCTCATCCTCCGAGATCCAAGTCAGTTACGGTCCGGGTCCTCCGGTTTCCTCCCACTGCTAAAGACCCCTACGTGCAAGCGAATTATGGAAATAAAATTGAACCATATGTTAGTCCCGAAATGACCTAGTTTGTGTCGAGTGGACGTTAAACCCCGTTTCTCTCTCTCTCTCAAAGTCATTTTCGAAGTTTTTCGGATTCTGACTGTCAACGAAAAATAGATACATGATAATAACGGTCTTCTGCAATTCAAAATATCGTTGCCATTGTGAAGTTTATAATTAATTATGCCTGATATTTTTAGATCAAGAAACATCGTCTCCACTACTTCAAGAGTTTCTGGAATATTCTTGATATCTTGGTTATCATTATCTCACTGATCTGTGTGGCGTTTGATGTTTATCGGTCGGTCGAGGTGGACCAGAAATTGACGAGTCTGTTGGTGAACAAGGAACAGTATTCAGACTTTGAACGTCTGAGTTACTGGGAGACGAGGTTTAGCAACGCCATCGCCATCTGCGTCTTTTTGGCCTGGATTAAGGTAAGTTTTCACTGTTTCGTTTAACAATTTGATGAAATAAAAATAAATGGAAATAAAAATAAATAGAAATAAGTCTTAAGACCCAGTAATGGCTCAATGGACGTTTCTTCAAAATGAAATGAAATGGGCTTTAATATCCTGCTGTTCTACTCCGACTGGGCTAATGAAAAAAGGTACTGCAGCCTACTCTTATATGTTCAACCTCGTGGAGTTTTTCTGGGTCCTCTGGTTTACTCCCACTGCTAAAGACCCTGTGCACAAGCAAATTATTGAAATAAAATTGACGCATATGTTAGTCCCTAAATGACCTAGTTTGTGTCGAGTGGATGTTAAACCCCATTTCTTTTTAGAAATGAAATGGGGTTTATCGTCCTATTTTTCTGCTCCTATACTGGGCTAATGAAGACGGGCATACGCCATACAGTGGGCTATGAGGGAAATTTTGCCCGGGCAGCGGCACAATCGCCTACTCTTATATCGAATTCCAACCACGAAGGGATCTTTTACGTGCATTCCAATGTATACACGGGACCTTGTTCTTTCGTCTCATCCAAAGGACTAGACAGCTGTCCTTTTTAGAAATCCAACTTTTACGATAATGTAATTTGCACGGTTTTAAATAGAAATACACACATATATAAAAATTTTGCGGGCTTCTTGGAATTTAAGATTATTATTATTTTATTCAGATTTTCAAGTACATCAGCTTCAACAAGACCATGACCCAGCTGTCATCAACTCTCGGTCGTTGTGCTAAAGATTTGGCCGGGTTCGCTGTCATGTTCTTCATCATTTTCTTGGCCTTTACGCAGTTGGGTTATCTGCTCTTTGGTACGCAGGTGAAAGACTTCAGCAGCTTCCAGAACTCATTGTAAGCATTAGGTTTTTAATTTTATTGGGTTAAGCAATGTTTTTTGGGGATTGAGGTGGGGGACATTGGTGTCACGTCCGTCTTATTTTTAAATAATTAGTTTTATTATCAGTTTTATTTGTCGAGACTTTGCAGAAGCAGGGGACTATTAAAATGGGTTCGTCCATCTGTCTATCTGTCCGTCGGGACACAATAACTCTCTTTCTAATTGAGCTAGAATGTTCAAACTTGGTGTAGGTGTTTATTAGGTCAGTGCCTTGATGGAGTTCGAAGATGAGCATTTTCTGCTTAGGGTAAGCAGAGATAATTAATTTGATTGGTTGATGCTTTGGGACACGATAACTTTAGTTTTAAATAAGTGAGAGTGATGAAACGTGCTGTATAGTTTCTTTACATCACTACCTTGACTATGTTCGATGATGAGCAATAAGCAATTTGATTGGTCAAGAGTTTAGAGCCTGATAGCTTTCATTACATCAATACCTTGACTGGGTTCGATGATGAGCATTATTGGGCTAAGCAGAGATATAAGCAATCTGATGACTGCCATCTTTTTATTTTGTTATTGAGGCAGCGGACATCAGCATCACTTATTTTAATTTAAAACTATCTTGCTTGCAGCTTCACCCTGTTCCGAATCATCCTGGGAGACTTTGACTTCCAGCAACTCGAGGCAGCAAACCGAATTCTTGGACCGATCTTCTTCATGCTGTTCGTATTCTTTGTATTCTTTGTACTGATCAACATGTTCTTAGCCATCATTAACGATACTTACTCGGAAGTCAAAGGTGACATGGCCAATATGAAGAACGAATTTGAAATGGCTGACTATTTTAAGAAGGTATATTTAATGGTTTTTGGGGTTTTTTTTAATAGCGCACAACTTCCATGACTTTATGACATGCATTAAGGAGCATTATTAATCAACAAATTTTTTTAGAAATTTCTGTGTTAATGCCCTTGAGTACCTGGTTAAACTTGAGTTGGAAAGCAGGCTGAAATAGCATTTTTAAACATACATTTTGCAAGAGCTAAATTTGCCTATTGCAGGTTTTTCTTTAGTCCTGAAATGTTATTAACATTAGATAACTTATCCAGACCATAATCAACCCTCGATGTCATCGCTAGCATGCAATATTTACTGGATTAGGATCCGATATGCTACTCTATGCTCATTCATGATTAAATCAAGAAATAGATAATCAAGACTATGTTTTTTATCATACTGACTTTAGTAATGATGATCAAGTCTAGGCCCAAAATTCAATCGCTAAATTTTCGGTTCAGAGTGGATCAATTTGACAGAAATTTTCAGCAGATTCCCTTTAGATTATCTAGTTTTTAACTATGTAGTGAGAACTGCCAACTCGTTATCTAATCTCCCATAATGTATCTTTAATGTTGTCTCATAAAATTACACAACACTTCCCGGAGAGCTCGCAGTAATATTCAAATATTTGCCTGATGTCGTAAATAATGTAGGATATGCTTATTTGTAAAGCAGATATTTCACACAATCTGATTAAAACACAGTTTCGTTTTTATAGTTTAAAATTTCATTTTACTTGTCTTTACTACACTTGGTTCTGGAAGAGTTGTTATATAACCTGCGTTCTGGTTGATGTGAAGGATTAGCCAATGAAACAGTCTGTTTTACTGCAAGTTCTTGGCATTTGATACACAGTACTTTGGGTAAACCACTAGAAACGTCAACGCTGATTGATTAATCAATGTCTGACGTCATAGGGTCAAAAGCCCTTCGTACGTCCCCTGACGCGATCTTCCAGTACAACTGGTCCGATCTTCATGTAATGTAGGCCATCGAAAGTATAAAAAAAACAAAACGAAATATAGATCTGTATTGTAATCAGATTGATAGATCACACAAATATTTGAAGACTGAGATGAGAATTTATAATTTTCGTTATTCCTTATGAACTAAAACAATTGGAATTTGATCTGGAATCAACTTATGTTTTAAAATGTGGTATTCATTGTTTTGTAGGGCTACTCGCGTGTATTGGACAAATTGAACCTCAAAAGAGATAAAATCGTGGATATTCAGAAGGCCTTGCGATCAGCAGACATCAACCAGGACAAACAACTCGACTTTGATGAATGGAGGCAGGATCTTAAAACGTAAGTAAACCTACAGTATCATCTAGAACACCAGATGGGGGTCACAGTGGCTAAGTGGGTAGGACGCTGGCTTGCTAGCCTGGAGGTGTTCGATCCCTGCATTGACCGAGAAAGTTCATCCAGATTTTCCGGCGTGGTTTACCCTTGTCTAGTCGTTGAGATGGAACGAAAAACAGAGGTCCCGCGTACACATCGGTGTGCACGTTAAAGATCCCTTGTGTCACAGAGGGCTGGGAAAGGGACAACATATAGTCCTTCGGATAGGACAAAAAAACAAGGTCCCGTGTAAAACAACCCTTGGCAGTTGGAATTTGATAAAAGAATATGTCGTAATGCCGCTGTCCGGGAACCACATTTCATTTTTAAAAAATGTTGGCTAGCTTGATTTGATATAATTATTTGTGATCTGTTATTGTAGTCGTGGTTACGCTGATGCTGAAATTGAGGCTATGTTTGCTAAATATGATATCGATGGCGATCGAGTACTTGATGAAGGAGAACAAAAACGTATGCAGGCCGATCTTGCTGACCAAAGGGTAAATATATTTCACTTGTAATTCACAGCAACTCAGATGAAAGATGCACGTAAAAGATCCCTTGACAGTTGGAATTCGATATAAGAGTAGGCCTTAGTGCCGCTGTCCGGGCAAAATTTTCCTCATAGCACACTGTATGGCGTATGCCCCGTCTTCATTAGCCCAGTTCGGAGCAGAACAGTAGGATGTTAAGCCCCATTTCATTTCATTTCAATAAATGAAAGAGACAGAAAGGGGGCGGGTGGGCGGGGAGAGAGAGAGATGGGATTTGAGTTCCACTTGACACAAACTAGGTCATTTCAGGACTAATATATGGTACAATTTCATAATTGGCTTGTGCATAGGGATCTTTAGCAGTGGGTACCCAGAGAGAACCCCCAATGTTAGACAGGGGCCTGTTCCACGACTTTTAACTACTTTATAAAACAAATTTTATTAATTTGATTGGATAATATTAGATTGATTTTAGTGCTTAGCCAATCAAAATTGAAGTATCTACTAAAATTTGATTTTATCTTTAGTTAAGATTTCGAGAAACAGGCCCCTGGTGATTAACGAATTCTATCCTTACTGAAAGGAAAGCTGAGGAATCAGGGTACAGCTAGGACAAGATCGGATCTCAGTGATACGGTTGGGGATCAAAATAAGATCTAAATGAAGGAGGTGTTTCAGACTCAAGCCCTTTATCAATCAGTTATCTACATAAAGCTTTTTAACAAGACTGTATAGAAAAGCGGGGTTGGATGGCCAAATGATTAGCATGTGCGCGCTGCATCATAAGGTTTCGATTCCCCGGTTGTACATGACAAGGAGTAGGGTCGCCTGTTCAACCTCGTGGGTTTTCTCCGGGTCCTCAGGTTTCCTCCCACTGCTAAAGACCCCTACGTGCAAGCGAATTATTGAAATAAAATTGAACTATATGTTTGTCCTGAAATGACCTAGTTTGTGTCTCTCTCTCCCCCCTCTCCCCCCCTCTCTCTCTCCTTCTCTCTCTCTCTCTCTCCCCCTCTCTCTCTCTCTCTCTGTATTGAAAATTAAAAGATTTGCTGTTGGTGAGACTATGTCCATTTCCCTGCTGCCTATTTTGAATAGAAATGTTAATTTTCAACCGATTTATTTTATTTTAGGTGGCTCTTAACAAAGCTTTTAACGAACTCGAAGGCAAAGGAACTCGACAAGGTACGGCTCGTAGATCCAGTAGTCGTGTCAGTTTTAATGACGACAGTGGTGACGACAGTGACGATGAAGACAGCGGCACAAAATCTTCTAGAACAGGCAGAACTTCCAGTGGTGTTTCATACGAAGAATTTACAGTTTTATCGCGAAGGGTGGATAGAATGGAACATTCGATTGGTAGTATTGTGTCAAAGATAGACGCTGTTTTAGTAAAATTAGAAGCTATGGAAAAAGCTAAATTAAAAAGAAGGGAAACAATGGGAAAAATATTAGACAGTATTACAGAGGTAGGTCATCATGTTACATTTAGTCCTGGGGGTGGGGTGGGGATGGGGGTGCTTCGGTTGTCCTAATTTTCATACTAGGATCAATTAATCTGCATGTGATGCTTGGTTCCCACTGTTATAGGATTGTCCCTATTGAGTCCAAGATCTGCTACATGCCGATACGTACGTACGTTCGGATACGTTTCCATATGATTTACACAATTGCTACGACTGACCTCAATATTTATATATATATGACAAAACCTGATGGGATCATCATGATTACTCCACGATTAAAACCACAATTTTGATCTCAGCTCGAATCGTGATAGTGGCTACCTAGCATAACCGGTTGCAGACAAGATTGAAACATAAGTGAGTGTAACTGAAAAATACGAGAAAACTGCAAACCGTCAAGTTTTCTGGACCATTTGCTGGCATGTGTTCGACTATTGCTTGATAATGACTAGAGATCTCCCTCATTAATTCCATAGAATTATTACCTGTACATACATAGATTATTTCCTGTTCAAAAGTTGGGACCCAGTTCAACAAACAATTTCACTGCATTAAACTATAATGCTTCGAATTCTGCTGATACAACCCCCCCCTCCCCCACCAACACCCCCCTTTGTCCTCGAGCTAAACTCACCTACCTGTTGTACTCGAGATAAACTTAACCACCTGTTGTACTCCAGGTAAACTCACCCACCTAGACTCTCCCACCTGTTGTACTCCAGGTAAACTCACCCACCTGTTTTACTCCAGGTAGACTCACCCACCTGTTGTACTCCAGGTAGACTCTCCCACCTGTTGTACTATAGGTAAATTCACCCACCTTTTGTACTCCAGTTTAGACGATAACATAATACAATATTTTTATTATTGCAGTCCGATGGGACGAGTGATGAGATGAAGCGAGAACAGATGGAGAGATTAGTTAGAGAAGAATTAGAAAGATGGGATTCAGAAACATCTATGACAGCAGGTAGCGGACGGGGCGCATCACCTGGTGCAGGTAGTGGTAGTAGTGGTCACGGAGCACGACCCAGATCACGCCCAGCTTCAGGACAAAACGTAAGATATTGACCTCTTTATTTGAGTAATAAATTTCGAAAGATATAATTAAATATTGTTTTCTCCTGGGATGCAGTAGCTCAAGGGGGGGTGGGAGGGGAGTCCGTAGTGTGGCTTTCATTCGCAAAGAAACATCACAACATAAATATATGTATTTATTCAAGGATTATAATATGAATTATTAAAATTTGAGGAGAGGGGTCGTATAGGCTATGCCTGCATCCTGATCCCTTTTCATCCATTTGAAATAAAATATATATAATAAAAATAAAATTTATTGAAAAATTTTTTTTTACTTTTTTGACAGTCTTCAGATGTTTAAACGGTAATTTGTAATAATGAATTTGTTTTTCACGTATATCTTCTGTTTTTTACGTATTACCCAGTTCAGTTAATGTAAACGAATACTGTATAATGTTTAATTTTATTGTTATGTTGGTCTCTGTTTTAATTTGGTTTTTGTGTAGACCTTTTAATTTGTTTTGTGTTTCTTCATGATTGTATTTACGGTCGTTACTATCGCTCAGATTATTTCCTGGCCCAGAAATAATAATTTTCATTGTCCCTGTTAAAGGCTCAATACCACTCTTGTTGTAACTGAATAATATGTCCCAATCTTTATTCTGGTCAACAAATTGTACTATTTTACAATATTCCAATTAATTGATGATACAAATTTCATCTTAACACGCCTAATTTAAAAAATTGGAAAAATTCAACTAAATGATTTGAAAAGCCTGACGTAAAGCTTTTCAAATGTGACTTGGATTTAAAAATATTTTTGAACCCTCTGGACAAGTAAAATAGGATGTAATGGATAATTTACACAACAGGTAGGACACTAACACATCTAGTACTTAGAATAAGGCTATTTTTTTATTTTCTGGAGCTGTCAAGCCAGCAAGAGTGTTATCGTCCCAGTTAGGCAATATTATTGGCATTCACTGGCATTTAGTAATTGACCTGGAGATACAAACACTATAACCTGGGTATTATTTAATCTTGTGTATTTAGCACTAATTTCTTTCACGTTTGTTTAATATCAAATCTTTGTTGAAAAATTTGTAAAAAAAACATTTAAAAATCACCCCAAATCATCCAATTTGTACTTGTGTCCAGTTTAAAACTGACTGATTGATTTTGATAATGAGTGTCCAATTTACAAGTATTTAATTTCCTGACCACTGTTAAAAAATTAATCATTATACATCAATAATCAATTGGGATGTTTATTTTTGAACAGTTTATTTATTAAACGAATGTGAAAGAAATTAGTGCTAGATACACAAGATTAAATGATATCCAGATTACATTATATATAGTCAGATATGTTTTAAAGACTGTATCCATGATTTTAGCGTTGTACTATCCCTTAACCCGTTAAGTGCCTAGGTCGTTATATAACGTCCTGGACAACTGCCACTCACTGTGTGTAGGGCGTAATATAACGCCTTGGAGGTATTTTCCCCAACCTATTCTTAGTACATAGTTCTTCGTCACTTTGTCAATATTAATTACACAATAGGGGGTAGTTAACGTTTTAAAAACGTCATGCTTTACTGGTTAAAAATTACAATATTGTTAAAGTTGAATCTCTGATGGGGGATATCGGTTTAAAATCATTCATTTCCATTCAGTATTTACAAAGATATGATGAATTGAAAATCCCATCGATCTGTGCAGCTCCCTATATAAGATGGCAACCATCTTTCTTTGCTGTGAACCAAATTAATGGGCTTGTTTTAAATCCAGTTGAGGGGGTTGGATGGCCGAGTGGTCATCCAAGTGCACGTTGAATCATAACATCTGTCATTGAATGAACTGGCGTGGTTTTGATTCCCCGGTTGTACGTGACCAGGACTAGGGTCGGCTGTCCAACCTCATGGATTTTCTCCAGGTCCTCCGGTTTCCTCCCACTGCTAAAGACCCCTATGCACACGCGAATTATTGAAATAAAATTAAACCATATGTTAGTCCTAAAACGACATGTGGACGGATGGATGTTAAACCCCATCTATATCTCTCTCTCTCTCTCTTTAAATCCAATTGAATCTTGCCCAGGAGATGATCTAGCGTTGGTATTTTGATTTTGATTTTGATTTCTTAATTAAATGTTAAATAATAAATCTGAGTACATATTAAATATTAGCGTTGATTATAGGGTGAGAAATTTGATATTTCCCGAAAAATACAAATCAGGCATTGTTACTTCCATTTACTTGACTTGATATATTTTGTTGTTTCTTTCTTCCAATATCTGTGTAAATCTTTTAGAGGCATTTAGTAACTGAATAGAGCAATAAACTAGAACACATACTTATGGAAAAACAGCTACTTATTTATTTGGGCGACGTTTCAACGAGTATTCTCTCAACGTTATCAAGCTAATAACGTTGAGAGAATACTCTTCAAAACGTCGCCCAAATAAATAAGCAGCTGTTTTTCCATAAGTATGTGTTTTTGTGTATTAATATTTTAGTAGTTTGTTTTGTCAGCAGGTTTGTCTTATTGGTTTTGTTTTTGTGTGTAGTGAAGTCCTCCTGTCCTTGCTATATAAAGATAACTAATTATTTTTATTGTATTACATTTCAGGGAGATTATGTAGTCGAGCACATCACGTCTCCGGTGTGATGATAGTTCCTACACAACTACCATCTTGTCTTAATACTGCTGATGTCAACCATTCCATCGTTCTATGTCTTTATAGAATTTGTTATTTTATTTATGTGTTTTATGGTCTGGTATATAGGCTTTAAATCTCTCTCTCTCTCTCTCTCTCTCTCTCTCTCTTCTCTCTCTCTCTCTCACTCACTCATGAAAGTGCAGATAGCCTGGCTTTTGGGACAGGTGGGGACAAGGTATCTGTATTCGTACATAATACCTCAATTCCTGTCTCCGTTACCTCTTAAGCTATGCTCTCACTCTCTCTCTCTCTCTCGATCAGTTATTAATAGTATTATTTTCTAATGGTATAATCCAGTTATTACTGACCTTGTCCGAGTTGTTACTGAAATATCATGTTACGGCACACCTGGTTACAGCTCCCTGTTAAATGTGCCACATTCAAAAACTTAAAACCAAATTCAAAATAAATTAAGACAAATTGTCTTTCTTGAGAAAAAAACAACTTTAAAACTTTATTTTCCTTCTTTAATTTTTGTTTATCCAGAGGCGAATGAATTAAATCATGGGATGAACAAATATTCAAGTTTCAATCATACTGAGGACATAATCCGTACGCTGGATTAAACCTTAAAAAATAAAAAATAAATATGTTTATTTCCTGAAAAAAATAATTAAGAATTTATTTCTCTTTGGTTTATTTCTTAAGTTTATTTGATTTTTATGTCAATATTTTATCATTATAAAATATGGAGCGATATTAGAATCTGTCCACAAGTTGTTTAATGGTTTCAGGCAAGACATTGAGTAATATATAGATATAACCCTCGGACTATCGTCCTCGTGCAATATCAATATATTACTTAACCTCTCACCTTCGACCATGAACACAAACTTACCATTTGTGGATAGATTCTAAAGTCTAGCCTAAAATAATGTGTTAAGAGATTTGGTTATGGTGGGGTTTTATTTGTAGATTAATTTAATTTTACCTGTTTATTTAATTTTACCTGTATATTTTATTAAAGTTTGTCCTTGTTTGTGAATATTTTAAGGGACCAAGTGTATATTTTGAAAGATAGTAATATTACTACTGTGAATATTGCATGAAAATTTTAACCATGAAAACTTTGTAATTCTTGACTAACTTCATGTCTCTCATTGTCTTCTTTCTCCAGCCCTGTGGGTTTTCTCCGGGTTTTCTCCGGGTTCTCCAGGTTTCCTCCCACTGCTAAAGACCCCTACGCGCAAGTGAATTATTGAAATAAAAATTGAACCATGTGTTAGTCCCGAAATGACCTCTAGTTTGTGTTGAGTGGACAAATTAAAAACCCATTTCTCAGTTGTTTAGGCCAAGTGTCAAATTGTTTAGATCTTCCATCAAATTGTTTAGACTTTAGACCCAATGTCAAATTGTTTAGACTTTAGACCCAATGTCAAATTGTTTAGGACCTGGTGTCAAATTGTTTAGGACCTTGTACCCAAGAAAAAGTTAAAGGCCAAAAATATTGTAAATTGCAGAAAAATGGTTCAATGCCTTTACTTTACTCTCCCTATAAAAAATTGTGGACATAAATTATTTAGAGAATTTAATCCCATTGCTCAGTCCCTTAAATGCAATTATACTTTATTTAATTATTTATGATTTTTGTTATATTTAATGGACTTTTTTCTTCTTCTTCTTTTTTTTCACTTACTATGTGAACAAACTTTCAGCAATTTGAAACTGCTGAGGTGCAGTAGGTGTTGTTACTGTTATCACTCCGTCCAATCAGAGCCATTTATTATGATCAAAGTTGCTGTGTTACACACATAATACATGTTTTATTATTGTTAAATTTTATGAAATAGTTACTGCTGGACTTTTAATCTGTCCAAATTTTATGAAATAATGACTGCTGGTCTTTAATCCGTCCAAATTTTATGAAATATTAACTGCTGGTCTTGAATCCGTCCCAGTTTTATCGAAAGAGAATTTATTTTTGAGAGATTATTGTTAAAAACGATTTAATAAGCTGTGCTTAATAAAAAACAATTAAATAAAATAAAAATTCTTACAGATGAAAAATCGTTATTCAAATTAAATTTCTTGAATTCGTACTAATTCTTGAATATATTTAATTATTGATATTAATTGATTATTAATGTTTTAAGGTATTTTATAGAAAAACGTAAATTGTACTCCTGATTCTCGATAGTATTAATTTATTGAAATTATTTGATTATGTATGGCGAATTTTGTATCCTATGTACTACTGAAAACTTGACAAATTGGATTATATCTCTGAATTATTAATAACTGGGGCTTTTTTTTTCACACAATCCGTCCTATTGTAAGTATAATTTTAATCAAAGCCCAGGAAATACTGCTGACTAATTGGAATACATATTTAATTAATTGGAATATATATTTTAATTAATTGGAATACATATTTTAATTAATAACTTGTTTTCTATAATCCGACCTAGTTATGGAAACAAGGAGTCATACCTGTTGAAAACAAAAGCAGTTGACGAGAATTTTAATTAATAACTGTTTTCTTTACCTGTCCTATTATTATTGGTGAATCTTTAAGTAATTTTATAAGCTAAATAAAGATGAAATAAGTATTATTTGTGCCAGATATGTTTGTATATTTTGAAATCAATGTTAATAAATTTAACTGCTGAATAAACTAGTATGATAATAAAGTATGTATAATTTGAGATGACTGCAGATCAATCTAACCGTAACCATGGCTACTAGTCTAATAGACTCTATATATATTAAAGCTTTGTTATGTATATTTTATGTCTGTTATTAAAGTGTGTCAAAGCATTTACTATCACTCTTCACTTGAAATTTGAAATTGTGGAAATGAAATGGCGTTTAATGTCATGCTTTTCTGCTCCGACTGGGCTAATGAAGCCGGGCATACGCCATGTGCTAACAGAGAAATTTTGCCTGCACAACTGCGCTTCAGGGGGGATGGGGGGAGGCGGATATGTAATTTCTCGGCCAAAAAAGGGTCAATATTCATTGAAATGGGACAGCCTTATTAAATATTGCAAGAAAACATCAGGTTTATACACTGAAAACAATAAACATAATGGTTCCAATCCAAGTTTACTAAATCGACACATCCTTTAATATTCATACTCCTGAAGCAGTGGCCCCGTGGAGAAATTCCTGAGTGGGATTAGGTCTAATCAAACGAAATACTGCGAGGAGTATGAATAATATTAGGTCTCGACAAAAGGCCCGTTTGTTACCAGGCTGACTAATAGATGTGTCTAGTTGTTCACGTGGTATGAAAAACCGGGATTTACAATCTCAAGCTTAAGATTAAATAATTTAAACAACAACTCAATAATAAAAAAAAAAATTTTAATACATCAAACACCAATCATTAATTAATAATTATCGTATAGGCTTCTATCCACACTGATGAGTACTAATTAGCACCTTTATATACCGACCAATCAACCCTATAATATACTGGTCATGAATACGCCGATTTTACCGGTAATGAATTAGCCTGGTAATGAATACGCCTGATACCATACATTTGTCTACAGACTAGATCCTTATAAATTACGTTATGGGGGTTGGATGGCCGAATGGTTAGAACGTGCGTGCTGTATCATAAAGCCTGTCATTGAGTCAACTGGCGTGGTTTCGATTCCCCAGTTGTATGTGACAAGGAGCAGGGTCGCCTGTCCAACCTCATGGGTTTTCTCCAGATCCTCCGGTTTCCTCCCACTGCTAGGAACCACACGCACTGGTGAATTATTGAAATAGAGCTGAGCCATATGTTGGTCCAGAAATGACCTAGTTTGTGTGGAGTGGACGTTAAACCCCATTTCTCTCTCTCTCTTTTAAGTAATTGACAAGCTTTGTTAAAAATAAGAATTTTCGATTTATGTGACTCGTTAAATGACGCTGTGTCACTGAATCGACAAGCGATGACTGAAAGAGTTGCGTCCCTTGAGTGACTCTCAAATAGAGAGAGTACACAAAATGAACACCCATTTAAACATCGAATTTAGCGCGAAAAGGTACAGCAAAATCAAAACAAAGATTCAGAATGGCTAATCCAAAAATTCATCTTGTAGTTGCTGCTTGCAGGAACCGAGGAATTGGTATGGATGGTAAAATTCCATGGAGACTGAAGAAAGACATGGAATTCTTCAAGAGAATAACTTCAGAGACAGAAAATGAATCGAAAGAAAATGTGGTTATCATGGGACGCAAGACATGGATGTCCATTCCGCCTAAATTTCGACCCTTAAAAAACCGAGTGAATATAATTCTTAGTAATACCATGACAGAACCTCCGGATGGCGCCTATTTAGCCAACAGTTTTAGTGAAGCCATGAAATTGTCAACAACAGGACCTATGAAAGACCGAATAGAATCGATTCACGTGATAGGAGGAAGCAGTGTGTACCAAGAAGCACTCAATTCAAACTATGATTGTCGTATTTTTCTAACGAAAGTTGACGCTGATTTCGAGTGCGATACATTTTTACCAGAATTCGAAGAGAAAGCAACAGCGCTTGTGGACAATCCTGCGAATGTGCCATCAGAAATACAAACTGAAAATGGAATAAACTTTAGTTTTGTAGTTTATGATAAAATTTGTTCCTGATCAAATCAGACATTGTATTTTAAAGATTGACAGTAGAATATTATCTCTTCGTGTTCTTCAAAATCTTTGGTTTTGATTCCCCCCTTGTACATGACAATAATGAGTAGGGTTGCCTGTGCAACCGCATGTGTTTTCTCCGGGTCATCCAGTTTCTGAGTTTCCTCCCACACCTAAAGACCCCTCAAGCGAATTTTTGAAATAAAATTGAACCATATGTTAGTCCCAGAATGACCCAGTTAATGTTGAGTCAACATTAAACTACCAGTGTGGTACTTGTCTGAGTTATCGTCTAGCTGCATGTACATATACAATTAGAACATCACTAAAATAAAACCTTGTTGAGATATCTCTAATGTATTTGTTTTTAGGAGCCACGGTGGCTAAGTGCGTAAGACTCTGGCTAGCTTGGAGATCACGTGTCCGATCCCTGCATTGGCCGAAAAAGTTCATGATTTACCAGCGTGGTTTCCCCTTGTCAGTGGTGCAGAACGGAGGGCCTGGCAAGGACAGCTGTTTAGTCGTTCAGATGGGACGAAAAACCCGAGGACCAGTGTATACATTGATGTGCCCGTTGTAATTCGATATAAGAGTAAGCCATAGTGCTGCTGCCCAGGAAAATTTCCCTCATAGCACACTGTATGGCCTATGCCCGTCTTCATTAGCTCAGTCAGGTGCAGAAAAGTAGAACGTTAAGCCCCATTTCATTTCTGTGACATTATTAAACATACATTATGCAAGAGTTAAATCGGCCTATTGCAGGGGTTTCTTTAGGCCTTAAGAGTCATTCCATGAGAAAACCATGCAGAAGGTGGGGGTCGGCAGATCAAGTTCATCTCTGGGGGATTTTATGGACTCCTCAAGACTACTTCACAGCCAGGAGGGCCGATCTCAAAATTTCACCGTTATTGAGAAACAGCCTCTGGGGGATTTTTGGCCAATTTTGCCATTTTTCAGGTCATTTTCAGCAACCTATTGTAGCGAGTCTATGGTTTGGATGGAAATGGTGGTTATTAGTGATGTTTACTACACTAGGATCTGAAAGAGTTGTTTATCATTGATGTGTTCTGAATTCTGTGAGGTATTAGCCAATGAAACGGTCTGTTACGGTGAGCTTTAGGTATGTTTTGCACGGAACTGTGGGTAAGCCCCTAGAAGCACTAATGCTGATTGGTTAATCAAATGTCTGACGTCATAGGCTCAACTGCCGCTCGTATGACCTCTGACGTGACCACTCACAACAACCAGTCAGATTTTCATGTAGTGTAGGTCATCGAAAGTATAAAAAAAAACCAAACGAAATATAGATCCGCATTTTAATGAGATTGGAATATGTTGAGAGGTGATAGAAATGTCCTTCATGTACAAATTCAGTTTTAAAAGGCCCAGCAAGATCCATTTTGGGCTCTGAAATTGATCATATGATGAAGTTGAATTTTTGACCCTATGCCATATTTTTTTATTTGAGGAACTACCCCGAGGCGGTGTAGGATCTTGGCTCTCTTGACGCCCATTTCCTCATTATGGGCAGCATAATATTTCCGGCATACATAAAATAGAAGAAAAAATTCTAAAATTAACAAGAATTTTTTAATGCTGCCAAAGTTTTAAAAAAAAGCAGAGAGCTGGCCTTTAGTAAAGGTATTACAGCTATATCAGACTCAATGCAGCTGGTTTGAGAACTTCTGAAGCCCATCGCTTAACTTAGTCAACTTGAGTATCACCGCACAACTGTTTCCTGCTAATTTGATTGTGGAATTTGTGGTCGAGCACACACACAGGGTTTCCATCGATATTTCAAAGACACAATTGCTTCACTCTTTTTTTTTCAATAGTATTTTATTTCATTTAGCCGTTCCAATAGGTATAAGTTGATTCCAAGTGACACAATGCGGTCTTTGCATGGCTTCACCTTAGATGTGGCAGCATGCATCCGTTTGGAATATTCCATTTAATGCAGCTTCGTCAAGAAATAAGCTCTCATTCGGTTCTGACATCACTTATTGCTATGTGATGTGCTAAAAGGTGGGCCTAAATGTCCTTAGTACATTTTTTCAATCGTATGAAGTGATTCTCTTGGTCATATCTGGGATATATACCACATTTAATGGCCAAACATGAGGAAAAACCGCAATTTTACGCGCTTTCGAGCACGGCCATCTTGGATTGGATATCAAGCCTCATTAAAGAGACTAGTTTTGCCCGAGGGGGTTTCAAGCTGCTACCAGTGAGCGCGGGCGAATGATTTGGTGAAGAAACGGAGATAGCTGACTTACCCTGAATGAAAGTAGTTGGCCATTTCATAGAGAATGGTAGATTTACAATAGGGAAAATTCACCAACTTTGACTTATGATTTCGCTTTGATTGAAGAGAGGTGACAGAGATTTTATTTCTTATATCGATAGAGGGAGTCGAGCTGTGCATAAAACTATTTCGATATTTTGACCTACCTATCATAGAAAATATAGCTAATCTTCGCAGGTGTATATTTTCTGTTTTATTCACCATATCTTACAATTTTGCTGATCATTGATCCCAGAGAATAGATGCGACTTCATGGTCTTCACACTGGGGCACAGGACGACCCCCACTAACATCACCAATCACCACCATTTTCATGCAAACCCTAGACTCGCCACAATATGTGGCTGAAACTTGATAAAAAAATGACCTGAAAAATGGCAAAATTGGCCAAAAATCACCCAGAGGCTGTTTTTCAATAACGGTGAAATTTTGACATCTGCCCTTCTGGCTGTGAAGTAGTCAGGGGGAGTCCATAAAATCCCCCGGAGATGAACTCGATCTGCCGACCCCCCATCTTCCCGATTCTGCACGATTTTGCATGGTTTTCTCATGGAATGACTCTTAAATATTATATAAATTAACAATTAGACATTTATTAACATGAGAAGACAATAATCAACTCTCAATGCCAACTCTCCGATATCAGGTAGATTAGAACAGATCAGCCATATTTTGATTTAATTTCAAATGGAGAGCGAGACATAGCTTCGAACAACCAGTACCACGGATACAATTAATGCACACATTAATTTGAATAAAATTTTCAATATATTCATTTTGCATTATCTATTTTAAAACTATTATAGCTAGAATGTCTAGCTCTTTATCCAAATCTTACATAGTGTATCCTTAAAGTATTCACATTTAAAAAGTAGTGTACAATCAGAATGGGGGGGGGGGGGTTTGGATGGCTGAATGGTTAGCACGTGCGCGCTGTACCATAAAGTCTGTCATTGAGTCAACTGACGTGGTTTTCGAATCCCTGGTTGTACGCGACAAGGAGTAGGGTCGCCTGTCTAACCTCGTGGGTTTTCTCCGGGTCCCCCGGTTTCCTCCCACTGCTAAAGACCCCTACGCGCAAGCGAATTATTGAAATAAAATTAAACCATATGTTAGTCCCGAAATGACCTAGTTTGTGTCGAGTGGACGTTAAACCCCATTTCTCTCTCTCTCTCTCTCTCTACAATCAGAATGGGTTGCATATTTTTGGCCCACCCTGTAGGACACAATGCTATGGAATACAATTGGTAATAATACTTGTAATATTCCATACAATTACTGGTTATTAGGGTAATAAAACATAAAGTATAACATTTTAATGCCACTGAAAAAATTGGGAGATGCTAATTCTAGGCTGGTTGGGGAAGTTTGGGCTTCCAGAGTCAACAAGGCCGCTTTCTATAAATGATTATTTTGGGAAATACTAACCCTAACCCTTTTTAAGAAGACTGAACTTGGATCCAGTTTACCTTTTTACCCCTCTTAAAAAGGGTTGGGGATCACGTGGCTAAGTGGGTAAGATGCTGGCTCGCTAGCCTGGAGGTCGAGTGTTCGATCCCTGCATTGGCCGAGAAAGTTCATTTTCCGGCATGGTTTCCCCTTGTCAGTGATGCAGGATGGAGGGCCTGACAAGGACAGCTGTCTAGCCGTTCGGATGGGACGTAAAACCGAGGTCCCGTGTACACATTGGCGTGCACGTAAAAGATTCCTTGGCAGGTTAGGAGCAAAACAGTAGGACGTTAAACCCGGCCCATTTGATTTCATTTAATTTCTTAAACGGGTTAGGGTTGGTATTCCCCAAAATACTCATTTATATAAAGCGGCCATTGTGAACCTCACAAACCGGCCTTCGGTGCAATATTATTACTATTAATACGGCATAGGAAATGAAATGAAAATAACCCATTAGCTTAACCAATTAAAACATTTTATTTTGTTCTAAATCTAAGAGGTTTGTTAAAACGAACATACAACAAAATATGGTTTATATACATTATTTAAAATAGTGTTGTTAAAGCATCTCTGTTGCCATGGACAACCATCATAAACAGATTTATTAAACAGAGATATAGAAAAAAAATTATAAAAGTGTGTGTATATAAATGAGAGGCATTGGTCAGGAAGAAAGCAAACAAAATATACAAGTGGTGTTAAAAAAATATTTTAAAAATCCAAGACGTATCATCGGAACTTCGATTTATTCCTGAAAATAGGCGGGGGCCTGGGAAGCTTTATTTAACGCCCGCTTCCGCCTTAGGTGACATCGCAAACAATTGGCAGCATATATTTAGGCCTATATATATGAGACGTGTACACATTGGCGTGCACGTAAAAGATCCCTTGAAGTTCGAATTCGATATAAGAGTAGGCCGTAGTGCCGCTGTCTAGGTAAAACTTCCCTCATGTATGGCGTATGCCCGTCTTCATTATCCCAGTCGGAGCAGAACAGTAGGACGTTAAACCCTATTTCATTTCATTTCTATATATGAGACAGTTCTCCTTGGATAATATTGGCTTTCCGATACAGAAGGATGCTCATGGCTTGTCGGGAATTTCGGGAAGATACAAGCTGCATTTGAAACCCTTAAAGCTGATGGTCACAATTTTCGGGGATTTTTTTTAAATTCGAATCTCTAAAAACTAAAAGGAATATCAATCTAAAAATGGTTCAATTTGGTCAAGTATTTACAAAGATACGAAATGAAAATTTCCCAATAATCAACATCCTCTGCAGCTGAAGTAATTAAACAAGCCAGAGCCAGATATAAGTATGGCTAAAATCTTTTGATTGGGCCTCTTTTCAATCGGATTGAAGCCAAGTCAGGAGATTTTCTACCGATGATATTTTAAAACATGTCTAAATTAAATCAACTCGAGCACATATGGACACGAATTAAGCCGTGAAAATATTACATAATGTACAAAAAATACAAATGGCGTTCAGCACATCAGATGGGTATTAAAATATGAAACTGGGACCCATGCGCGACTCGTCTTCTTGGAGACAGCGCGTTTTTAATAAAAAAAAAAAAAACCCGAAGGCTCCATCAATTTAAAGGAGCTAAATCGCTAACATTTGGGACCTAGAAATTGACAAAAGTGGGTCGCAACGCATATAATACTGTAATATGAATGTATATAAACTGATTTACATTCAATGGTTTCCGTTTTTACTCCAATTTCAAATCAGTTATGTTCGGCGAAATAAGCCAGCAGTCTCAAGCGAGTGCAAATTTCTAGCGTCTGGTTATTCCAGTCTACACACGCCGTTTGATTTGGTGCAATGTGTCTAGCCTCGTCCCTCGAGTCTCTTGATACAAATGGGGCTGAAGCGCATTATGGTACACGATTCGTGTACCAATGGTAAAATGTTTATTTTGTCTTAAATATTGGATATCAAAAGCCCATCTTTTCCCGGTAAGATCACAACTGAACATGAATGTTGATTTAATTTGACAAATAAATCGTGTTTTCAATGTTGAAGATTTTGGATGATATTGAGTTAGAGACTTAGCTACTTTAAGAACGATCGATATGCTTGTTACTTGGACAATTGCGCATCGATTGACAGACTTCAAATTTGCATATGACGTTACAATTTCAAGATGGCCGCGATAACGTCACGTTCGGTCCCTGGTCCATATAGCATCCTCGTATATGTTTAAAGCAGCAGTGATAAATTGTTTATAAATAGAATTCATTTGAAAAATTATATACATTCTTCCTCATGTCATTTAAAAAACAAACTTTTCTGAGACATATATGTCTAAATATTTACAATTATTGGCATCTATTATTCATATACAAATCGGCTTAAACTATGCGAAATTTTCGGCGAGATACTTTTGTCTTCCACATAAAAACATGGTGGCTGGTGTATTGAGAGTTGTGGTTAAGCCAGCACGACGATCGGCGACCGTTTCGTCGTACTGGTTTGTCGGCGACCCGCCAGTTTCCCCTGGTAAGGCACTGCAACGAAAAAGGTAGCCGAAAACGGCGCCGATATTGTAACATATGTTTTAATTGGTCGCTCGCAACCACCAAAAAAACCTATCTCGACTGAAATATGAGGTAAGCCTAAGCCGAACATTGTCGTACAATCTTCCATTGAGCCCGACAAAAAAAACCCGTTCAGTTGGTTACGAGAAATCGAACACCAATGATAATAGAACACGAATGAACATGTTTTACAAGAGGTACACTTAAAGATGAGTTGACACTGATTGGTCATCCTTGACCCCAGACTTCTCTTTATCTAACTCGTCGCTCGGCAAAGCTGACTGGGATACAGTCGTTACCAGCGTCGGAGTAGATTCATTTCCGGATGTAGTAACCGTAACGCCCGATTCAGAAGCGTGAAGATCTGCTTTCTGGTCTTCCGGTGTGTAGTTCACCTTGATATTTTTTCTGAAAGAATCTTTCAATACTCTGGTTTTAAAATCATCGTCTTCCTATAAAAAAGATATGACATGAAACGAATTAACCAGCATGCCATAACTACCCAGCCTATGGGGATCCTATAGGTTTAGGGGTGGGGGCTTTTATCCGACATTGTCCACCCCCATTCCAAATTTAAAATAATTTTCCAAATATGTACGTCAACATCAATAATTTTACATAGCAATGAATTAAACTGGCATTATTCAAGAGCTAAATCTGGCTATTGCAGGCCCTTTCTTTAGGCCTTAAATGTCATATCAATTATCAATTTGATATTAATTAACATGACAAGGCCATAATCAACCCTCGATATCGTCGGATGGCTACGATTTTAAGTAGATTAACTAGAAACGACAACGCTGTTTGATTAATCAATATCTGGCGTCATAGGGTCAGAAGCCGCTGGTTCGACCCCTGACGCGACCTTCCACTAGAATCGGCCAGATCTTCATGTAGTGTAGGCCATCGAAAGTATGAAAAAAAACGAAAAGAAATATAGATCTGTATTTTAATCAGATTGGCTCCACCCCGCCTATCAATATAATTAAAGCGATAATTTCATATTTTCTAATAAAGTCAAAACATAATTATTTCTATGTCTTTTGCTCAACAGGTTGTCAACTCATTATTATACGACCATAGGTATTATTCTCCCTCTTAAAAATCCTTTGACCCCGGAAATAATAACACAATTACCTCCCATGAGCTATCTTCAAACTTTTGAATTTAAAGTTGAAAATGATATTTTTGCCAATTTCTCAACTGCTAATAGTGAATTATAGGATTAATAGGATCATTCTTTAACAAGGTAGGACTGTTTATAGATACCATCTATTTTAAGGCTTTATTTCAATAAATTTTAAAAATATAACTTAAAAATATGAAATTGTAACTTTAAAACAGAAAATAGTTCTTACCACGTGACTGAAATCAATTCCAAATCTGAGAGGTTTGAGTATTTTTTCTGGTAGACATGGAAACACGATGTCAAAAAACGGACAAATCAAAGTTGGATCTAAGGATTCTGGTTTGGTGGCACCTGTAAGGAATAATACAAATATAAGGTCAGGGATTGGATCACATTTCCGTCAAATATGGGTTCAACTTTCGGTTTTCGGAAATAGGTTTTCGGAAATAGAAAAGAAATAAAATGGGGTTTACGGTTATTAAAGAGAGAGAGAGAGAGAGAGAGGGGGGGGGGGTGTAAAGTCCACTCGACACAAACTAGGTCATTTCGGGACTAACATATGGTGCAATTATATTTCAATAATTAGCTTGCGCGTAGGGGTCTTTAGCAGTGGGAGGACCCGGAGATAACCCAAGAGCTTGGGACAGGCGGTCCTATTCCTTGTCACTTACAACCGGGGAATCGAAACCACGCTACTTGACTCAATAACAGATCTTATGACCCAACTCGCACGCGTTAACCATCCACCCCCCCCCCCCCACACACACACACACAGTGTGCTATGGCTAATGAAGACGAGTGTGCTATGAGGAAAGGTTACCAGGACTGCGACGCTTCCGCCTATATTCTTAATTGAACTCTAACTGTAAAGGGGTCTTTATGCACACACCAACATGTAAACGGTACCTCGTGTTTTGTCCCTTTTGATGACAAGACGTCGTCCCTTGCTCTCCGCCCGCTTGCGCATTGGGGTCTTTTAGAAGTTGGGTAGAGGGGGCGGGGGTGACCTACGGCGAGGTTAAGCACTTGTCACGTACCAATTTTGGATCGAAAACCGGATGCATAGATGACAGGTCTTAAATTGAACAGCGCACAGGTAGGCCACCAAAACTAACAGGTAGGCACTATAGGAGTCTAAGTCTAGTGGTAAGATATCATATGCCAAACTACGTACCTGTTATAAAACTGACAATAAGACCGACAACTATAACTGTTAGCACTGCCGTGGCTGTATACCACATGTAGGATAATGTATACAACCCCACCAAAGGATCACTGAAACAAAAGACGATGAACTGTGATGCACCTCAAGAATCACGTCATATTCAAAATTTAAATGATTTCATAGAAATTTGAAAATATTATGAATAATTGAAATTTTGACAAAAACGACCCTACTATGTCACCGAGAAGTGCGTTTTTCTGGTCAAATTCACTTATCAATAATTTTGTCATTTTTTTATGGAATTATTTATATTTTGGTGTGATGTGTGAATATACATTTGTTTGGTAAACAGACAACTCATCCCAAAGACAACTCATCCCAAGACAACTCATCCCAATATAAGACAACTCATTCCAAGTTAGAAGACAACTCACCCCAACCTTAAAACATGGGTCGAAATATAAGACAACTTATCCCAACAAATATAAGAGCAAGTTATAATATTTGTTTTAATCTGATTTTGTTATAAAAAAAATGTGTTATTTTAATAAAATTCTTATTGTTGTTTTAATCAAATTGATGGCTGTGTATCATTGTTTGTATTAATGTTTTGGTATTCATATGTGTATAACATATCTTTTCCATGTCGGTCACTCTTTACAGTACTCTGGACGCAACTGACAAAATGTCGGTTCTTGTCGTTAATTGGTAGGACCTCTAGCTACACGACTGTTTATTTCAAGTATTTTTGAGTAATGTTAACACCGATCTTATCCGGTTTCCATAATCAAAGCGTATTCTTGAACAGGTCTATTTGAGTAGTGGTAACAATCCTCGACATCCCCAGTGGTCTCATTCCGTTCCCCTGGCATCATCCATGGGGAGACAACGTATTCAAATTATCTGCCCTTGATGACTGTTCTATTTTTATCGACCAATGTAAACCATCATTAAATACAAAAGAAGTCGGCGAATGGGAAATACTCCCATCTTGTTGCAACAAACAAGCTACCATATTGTTATGAACATAAGCAATGAGGCTAAAACTGGTTTGTAACCTATTTTTGGATTGGTTCGTAGAATCAAGCTATATACGATCAAGGTCAAATAATTTGAATACGTGAATATCCCATGGATGGACCCAGGGTACAGTGGATTAGGACGGAATGAGACCACCGGGGACACCGAGGATGGGTGGTAACATACCTATCACCAGCCCCATCAGTAACAGTAGGGGCAGTAGAATTTATAAAACTCATGTTCATGGCGGGTGTGACAGCTGGAGTAGTAGTGGTTAAATTCCAGTTACAATCAACAAGACTGATTGGTGATGGTGTGGCTACAATCGGGCGGTGAACCTGGTACCCAATACCGATCCAAAACATCAAAATTAAACTCGTCACCAAACCTGTTACAGCACCCTGAGGTAAACAAAAATAATATATACGGAATTAATCTACTATAGGATTACCCATGACATGTTGGAACTAGACTTAATAACTCTTGGGATTCTGACTGGGTGACCAAAGCCCCCGCCGCTTGATTACCGAGAAAATTTGGGTTTAACGTCTACTCAACACAAACTAGTTAATTCAAAGATATTTAGACATGGGGCCCAAAGAAAACATACGAGGTTAGTCATTCGACGCTACTGCTTGTCACATGCAAGTCTGGGGTCAAAACCGAATTACAGACCTTTTGCTCTAAAGAACCACCCGTTAGACCACTCGGCCTCCCAGCCCAACCGGGCGAATATTATGTAAATAGTCACTAAGTTAGTATTTATGGCAGGATATGCTACTTTCTATCTACGTCTAATAGCACTTCATATTCACACCAGGGAAGCTCACAGACGGGCGCCGAAACGGCGCGAGGGCCAGGGTACCAAAAGATAGGGGGGTTGCTCTAGAAAATTTTGAAATTTGTCAATTCCGAGAACGCTGTTTAGAGCGCCTCTTGCATTCCAAATTCCAACATAAACCCCTTTAAAATACATGATAATGAAAGAGACAAAAGCCTGATTATTCACAATTTTCATATCATGAGCTAAAATGAATAGACTAGTAAAAAGGTTGAAAACTTTCATCATTAGGGCATGGGTATACATGTATACCCCAGAAAAGGGCAGGGTACCATTTGTGTACCCGGGTTCCGACGGCCCTGCTCACAGAGGAGACGTACCACTTTATATTCACACGTAATAAAACAGATAATTTAAAAAATATTTTAAAAAATTACCTTTTGATTCGCCCAAGGGAAGAGCATTCCTAATGTAAATATACCCATAATAGGCCCACCTATCATACCATATAAGGCCAAAGCAGCCTGAAAAAAAAAACCAACAGAAATGTAAATATACCCATAATAGGCCCACCTATCATGCCATATAAGGCCAAAGCTGCCTGAAAAAGAAACAGAAATATAGAAGGTATATATAATAAGCCCACCTATCACGTAAAAGAAGCATGAAACAACAGAGCAGTATATAAATGTTCTGAAAAAAATTTGTAAAGGAATTGGAAGTAAATACCTGTAAAACTCCACCTAATAAAGAAGCTACGTAGGTCAACCCAATCATCAAAATACCAAATACAACAGCTGAAAAAAACAAAATGGAAAGACTAAGCATCGCATACCCAGTTATAACGTCGATGTACGAACAGATGTAACGTCACTGCATGAACGGCTATAATTTCACTGCATAAACAGCTATAACGTCATTGTACGAACAACCATAACGTCATTGCATGAACAGATATAACGTCACTGCATGAACAGCTATAACGTCATTTTATGAACAGATATAACGCCAGTGTACGAACAGCTATAACGTCACTGCATGAACAGCTATATGGTCACTGCACGAACAGCTATAACGTCATTGCATGAACAGCTATAACGTCATTTCATGAACAGATATAACGCCAGTGTACGAACAGCTATAACGTCACTACACGAACAGCTGTACGGTCACTGCACGACCAGCTATAACGTCACTGCATGAACAGCTATACGGTCACTACAAGAACAGCTATAACGCCACTGTTTGAATAAATATAACGTCACAGCATGGACAGCTGCATGTACATGTATAACCTCAAAGTGTGAACAGCTGTAGCACTACTGAATGAACAGCTATAACGTCACAACATACAGTAATAACTAAGTATACCTAGTGTTTTAGGACTTAAAATGCCGGTCAATTAGCTTAGTGTCTGTTCTCAAGCGGAATTAATTTTAGACAGACAGCGTAAGTTTAGTACGGGAAATGAAATGGGGTTAATGACTTCTGTTCTGCTCCGACTGCGCTTCTTCTTCTTCTAGACCACTAGACCTAAAGAGAGGCGTTTTTTTGTACGCGATCCAATCACGCTGTATTGTTTTTAACAGAATCATGACAGTATGAGAATACTCCAGCTTACCTAGGACTTTAGAAATAATTGTGGCTCTTTTTTCTGTAATTTTTCTACCACCTAGATTCTTGATGATATCCTGTAGTATTACAGCTGAGATGGAGTTTAAACCTGATGATATGGTGCTAAAAATAGACATGGTAATAGGAAAATGGTAATATAATCAACATACAAACAAGGGACTGTCGAGGGGGCAGGCGGGGGCATGATTGGTTATTTAGAGGGTCAAAATTTCAAAATGTTCGCGGTGAAGGACCACAGCCCCCACCCCCCGAACCCGAGGAAAGAGCTCCCCCCCCCCATCTGGCCTCCGCTGTTGCACTGAAAATTTTAGCCCCTCCAGTGAAGTTAAAATCTTAAAAGTGCGGGGGCTTAAATCTTCAGAGTGCAGTGGAGGATCACAGGCCCCACGCTCCCGAGCCCGAGGGAAGAGCCCCCTCTCCCACCCACCCCCATCTGGTCCCCGCTGTTGCACGCCCGCGTACAGAAAATTTTAGCCCCTCTAGTGAAGCTAAAATCTTCAAAGTGCGGGGGCATGATTTTTCATTTAGAGGGTCAAAATTATAAAATGCTCACGGTGGGGGACCGCAGGACCCCATGTTTTTATTCTGCAAAATTCAAATATTTTTCAAATATATTTAGCCAGGTGTGCCGCTATTGTTTCATGTGTTCCAAGGTGTGTCGTTAGCAAAAAAAGGTTGCGAACCACAGATCTATAGAGAAACGAACTCTCGAGAAGAGAATTTCCGTCTAATTTAAATGAACAATTTGGTTTAGTTTATCTTCATCTAAAGTTTAAAACAACATCGCAATTTATCCTATTTTTTAACACGAGTTTTTTTTCTATCAGTGATATATCTTTACTCTGACTATTGCGTCACAAACATGAGCTAGTGAAATAAAAACAGAATTTATATGCTATATGGTTTAAATACAAATATTTTTAGATACGTGAGATTAATATGGGCAGGTGTTCACATCTCGTTAACACTTAAAGGGAGATAAACCTGTTTGATATTGAGTGAAATAAAACGGGGTTTAACATCTTACTTTTCTGTACCAACCGGGCTAATGGAAGGAGCAAATGTCATGTTGTATGCTAGGAAGGAATTTTTGCCTGTAAAGCGGTAATTCTGCCTACTGTATTCGACTTTCAGTTAACTGTCACGGGATCTTGTGCGCACACGGGTGAATGTTGGGTTTTCATCCCCTCTGAACTATGCTAATGAGGTAGTATATGGTAGTATTGGGTGGTATATGGGTTAGTATTCGGTGTTATAGGGTAGTATTGGGTGGAATTGGGTGAGTATTGGGCGGTATTGGATAGTATTGGGCGGTATTGGATAGTATTATGTGGAATTGGGCGGTATTGGGTGAGTATTGGGCGGTATTGGATAGTATTGGGTAGGTATTCGGTAGTATTGGGTTGTATATGGGGTAGTATTCGGTGTTATAGAGTAGTATTGGGTGGAATTGGGTGAGTATTGGGCGGTATTGGATAGTATTGGTCGGTATTGGATAGTATTAGGTGGTATTGGGTGGTATTGGGCGGTATTGGGTAATATTGGGTGGTATTATGGTCTAGTATTGGGCGGTATTGGATAGTATTGGGTTAGTATTGGGTCAGTATTGGGTTAGTATTGGGTTGGTATTGGGTTGGTATTGGGTTAGTATTGGGTTGGTATTGGGAGAGTATTGGGCGGCATTGGGTAGTATTGGGTGTATTATTGGATAGTATTTGTTGGTATTGGGTTGGTATTGGGTTGGTATTGGGTTAGTATTGGGTTAGTATTGGGTTGGTATTAGGTTGGTACTGGGTAGTATTCCATGGAATTGGGTAAATCGTCCTGCCTCAAATTTGGCCAGTATATTATACCATACTTCTAAAGCGTTTTGTTTTTGTTTTGGATACATATAGCTAATGTAAGTGGAGTTTACCTCAGAGCACCGCTAAATATACAGGCTACAAATAGTCCTGGTAAACCCGGTATATGTCCTAATACGTCCATTACAAAAAGTGGCAATAACTGTAAATAGATTATATAACATACACTGTTAAAATAAAAAAGGGTTTATTTATCAAATTGTAAACTTGTCAGTACAAGGGCGCTACCCCTGACATATAGGGATAGGGTTTAAAATACACCACAATAACCCCCTCGGGTCTTTCAGGGAGCGAGGCGGTTAGAAACTGAACATGTCATGGAGTTGACAAGCAACGTGCGCCGTATCACTTCGCTACAAACTGATGTGTATATAAAAAAAAATAATTCACAGTTCAAGTTCATTACACATACATTATGCAAGAGCTTGATCTGCCTATTGCAGGTCTTTCTTTAGCCCTGAAATGTCTTCTAAATTATTAATTAGACATTAATTAACTTATCCAGACCATAATCAACTCTAGATGTCATCGCTAGCCTGTGATCTTTGGTGGATTATGAGTCGATTTACTGCAGAACTTTCCTTCGCGATTTAATGATTAAATGGATAATCGAGACTATGTTGTTTATCCTACCGACTTTAGTAATGATGATCGAGGCTAGCCCCAATATTCAATCGCTAAAATCTCGGTTCATAGCGGATCAATTTGACTTGAAATTTTCAGCAAATTGCCTTTAAATTATCTAGTTGTTAACTATTATAGTGAGAATTGCCAGCTCTTTAAATGTTTGTTTCACGGAGTATGGATTTTACAGTGTTAAACAGGTCTAAGTGGATTATTGATTACATGAGTTGATGTTCCATCGTGATTATATAACTAACTACAGGAATAGACTGTAATTAGTAACAATAGCCCCATCAATAATAGGCTTTTAACTTTTAACGTCCATCCATCTATATATTATTCATTACGAAGAAACCGTTACTCAGAGATCCGCTTTACTAAATCCGACATCTCAAAGGGGTATTTCCCCAGACATAGAATATAATGTACGCTTTCAGTATGTACTGACCTAAGCTATGTCAGTCTCGATACACTGAAATATAAAATTTCTGCTCAGATTCCAGTAGCAGTCGGGACACGGGTTTATTTAAGCCGACAGTTCAAAGTTTCAGTAGCAGTGCGTGCATCAGGGATTTGATCTTCTCTTTGAAATTAAATGGGGTTTAACGTCCTACTGTTCTGCTCCGAACTGGGCTAATGAAGGCGGGCATACGCCATACAGTGTGCTATGAGGGAAATTTTGCCCGGGCAGCGGCACTACTATTATATCGAATTCCAACTGCCAAGGGATCTTTTACGTGCACGCCAATGTGTACACGACCCTCCGTCCTGCATCACTGACAAGGGGGAACCACGCCGGAAAATCTGGATGAACTTTCTCGGCCAACGCAGCGTCTTACCCACTTAGCAATCGTGACCCCGCCAATTACTTGATCGCATGCACCCACGTCTAGGACTTAGTAGCCTGCTGGGGGGGTGGATGGCTGAATGGTTAGCGTGCGCGCGCTGTATCATACAGTCTGTCATTGAGCCGACTGGCGTGGTTTCGAATCCCCGGTTGTACGTGGCAAGGAGTAGGGTCGCCTGTCCAACCCCGTGGGTTTTCTCCGGGTCCTCCGGTTTCCTCCCACTGCTAAAGATCCCTACGTGCAAGCGAATTATGTAAATAAAATTAAACCATATGTTAGTCCCGAAATGACCTAGTTTGTGTCGAGTGGACGTTAAACCCCATCTCTCTCTCTCTCGTAGCCTGCTCATTAATGAGAGAAAGGAAGACATTTTAAATACCCGATGTGAAAAAAAAGGTGAAATAAACTTTTTATTCAAATCAAGTAGGACAGTTTGTTCAATTTATATTAGTTAAAATCGATAATTTCACAATTGAAAAAAACGTCCACTCTTTGATTGGATGCCCTCAACACCCACCACTCCCACCCCTTTCGAGAAATTAATGTCCGGAGTCATAGCTTCTTTACCCCTATTAAACACGCCACTGTGCAGTAGACCTTGTGTTTCTAAGAAATGAAGTTCCAGGAGTTACAAAAACATTGGTGTTGACAAAGCTGTTCTATCGTTCTTGATTTGATGTTCACGTTGTACGACTACAAATCTATACTAATATTTGTGCCTGTCGTTTGTCTGTCTGTTCGGGGTTGGCGGCTACACTAGGTCTGCCCCGAGTCTGAAATTTGGGGTATAGGGGTAACATAGGCCAGGTGGCGTTAGTCTACTACTTCCGGTTTCGGGGTTATGACCCCCGAGCGAAGCCGAGCATTCTTCTAGTGATACATAAGACCGAGGCTAGCGATACATGACTACAGTACGTACTTACTAAAATCAATCTAATATTATTCAATCAAATTACTAAAATTTGGATTTTATCTTAGTTAAAATTTCGTGAAACAGGCCCCTGACCAGACGCTGTAATAAGATACATGAATACAATACGTACCTGATCAGAAGCTGTGATAAGATTAAAAGTTTTAGGATCACATGTTCTGTAGAAAGCGTAAATAACTGTTCCGATCAAACAGGACAAGTATAATACAACCCATAAACCAGGTAGATTCAGCCAAATAGCACTGTAACAAAACAAATATTCGTTTACAATACAATGAAATGAAATGGGGTTTAACGTCCTACTGTTCTGCTCCTATACTTGGCTAATGAAGACGGGCATACGCCATACAGTGTGCTATGGGGAAAATTTTGTCCGGGCAGCGGCACTATCGCCTACTCTTATATCGAATTCCAACTGCCAAGGGATCTTTTACGTGCATTCCAATGTATACACGGGACCTCGGTTTTTCGTCTCATCCGAAAGACTAGACAGCTGTCCTTGTCAGGCCCTCCGTTCTGCACCACTGACAAGGGGAAACCACGTCGGAAAACGTTTACAATACAACACAGATAGCTGGCAAATAAACCGGGTGTCTAGAACACAGTGAACAATACCTTCTTGCGCGCAATATGAAATAAACCTTTCACTTTTTGCCCCGTCTCCATCAAGCGTGATGACACTGTTACGCAGTTAGCAATTTGGAACAGAAATTTGCTTCCTTTACAGCAGTGTTAAGTGGGATTAGCTCTAGTCAAACGAAACACTGCGAGGGGTATGCCATATTGTACACAATTTAAAATGGAAACCAATAATTAGAGTTTTTCTGAGGCTCTATACACGTCATTATATATATTGAGACAAAGAAGGTAACAGTAAGAAAAGAAGACAAAACACAAAGAAAAACTAATTAAAAGTTCTTAATTTGAATTCGTCATCTAACAAAGCAAAAATTCGGTGGTGCCCCCCCCCCCCCCTCCATTCCCATGATGACCTACGCACGTGCTTATTTTGCTTAATGGTTAATTAAGCCCTGCCGAGGATATTTCGCGGCCGACACCAGGTTCGAAGCCGGAACGCCACGTTAGTGAGCTCCTCCAGAAAGATGGATTACGCTTGACTTACATCCTGGCCTTTCTTAGAGATGGACAGGTGATGGTTCTCTGGATCTGGGCTTGATTTGTTCCATATACATAAATCCAAACAAACGCCCCACCAATAGTTAACGACCAGAAACTATGACGTACTGATGGGTCCACGCTAAAACTGAAAATAAAGAAGAACACAAGATATTGTAGAAATATAACTAGGTGACCAATGTCAAAGTAGGGTCGACTTTAGGAATTGCGTAGCCCAACTGGGGATGTTTTTGGCAGGCCATCAAGTTTACAGCCAAGTTCTGTTTCATTATAAATGTCTAATAAAGTGTTCAGACTACCATATCCTTATTATATTTGTTGTGTGCGATTGGGGATGGGGTGGGGGCGGGCTGCCTACTCTAGATCGAACTCCAACTGCTACTAATTGCTTTTCGTGCACGCCATTGAGAACACATGACAACTGAGAACTGAGCTAGTAAATTTGCCCCATGTAGGGATTAGAATATGGGTCTGCCAGTGTCCATGCAACACATACATCAAAGAGATTTTAACCCGCAACGTTGACACAAAATTATCCGAATTGATATTTATGTTGACAATAATTAGGAAAGATAATATTCACTCACTCTGAGAATAGGATTCGCTCGTTTGCCGCTGATATATCCCAGGCCTTAGCGAAACCTCCGACTTCTATACTACCTTGTATTAATATAGCTAATAAACCAGCCAACATCAGCCCTGTTTGAAATGTATCAGTCCATAAAACAGCCTTCATACCACCCTGTAACACACGGTAAGTTACACATAAACTAGCCTGGCAAGAACAGCTGTCTAGTCATTCGGATGAGACGAAAAACCGAGGTCCCGTGTAGACATTGGCGTGCACGTAAAAGTAGGCCGTAGTGCCGCTGTCCGGGCAAAATTTCCCTCATAGCACACTGTATGGCGTATGCCCGTCTTCATTAGCCCAGTTCAGAGCAAAACAGTAGGACGTTAAACCCCATTTCATTTCATTTCATTTCATTACACATAAACTACCTATGGGGAAAATTTGGAGCTAACCGTTGTGTATGGACAGGTGACGCTACTTCTTGTTACGTACAAGTGGGGAATCGAAACCACGCCACATAACTAAATGACAGAACTTACGTTTTAACGCGTTTTTTTTCTTGTAAAAACCATCGTTCCACCCAACCCCTAAATTATGGATGAGTTTAAGTAGATTTGTTATAAAGACGAGTTGGGTTTTTTATTCAGTGATATTTCGACGATCTGGTAGCTTTAAAACAGAAGAATACACTTTAACATAAAATACAGCCTTATTATCTGTCTACTCCCGTTCATTGACTTAATTTTGAGAACTTGATAATGCTCATATAAGCGATAAGTTGGTCTAGGGAAAATTGGGAGCTAAATGTTATGGACGAGTTTTGAGAACTAGACAATGACCACGTAAGCGGTATGTTAGTCTGTTATCATGTCCTATCCTATTACAGAACCATATCAAAGTCTTCGATATGATTATCAGGGATTATGAATTTATTTTTCTGTTTCTCAAAAGTAATCTATTAAAAACAATCATTTCAAAATTACGACCATAAAACCTTGACGGACGACATGACAAACACATTTCTGAATAACAGAAGTATAAATATATACAGCAGGGAAATGTACATATTGACATAAATTGGTTGTCTAAAACTGGAGCATTCGACAAGCCAAACGGAGAACATGATAAACTTACAATTGCTGTGTAGAATATACACACTGCGCCAACTGTCCAGATTAAACCCCACAAGGTAACACCAGTTACTGAAATAATAGAGAGAGAAATGTGGTTTAACGCCCACTCGACACAAACTAGGTCATTTCGGGACTAACACATGGTTCAATTTTATTTCACTAGTTCGCGTGCGCGTAGGGGTCTTTAGCAGTGGGAGATCGGAGGGCCCGGAGAAAACCCACGAGGTTGGACAAGCGACCCAACTCCTGTTCCCGTACAACCGGGGAATCGAAACTACGCCATTCGGTCATCCAACCCCACTACTGAAATGATAACATACATTCTAATGTCCTTATAATGCAAAAACAGATAATGCTACTGACTGGTGTTTTGTGTAAGACAAATAATCCCTACAAAGCATTCCCAGACTTTAGAATTTACTCAACCTTTAATCTTCGATCCAGACACACAAAACTTTGCACATAGTTTCTTATTGATGTATTTGATACATTAAAACAACAATAGTTTTATAAAGGGCTATATTTTAGTTAAAATAAGGCCAACAATTTTGAGTGAATTCTTAACTTAAGTCCGAGAATGCTTTGTGAACTCGCGGCCAGATTGGGCTTTTTTTTAGTTAGATATGGTCCTTGTTACAGTCCAATTAAAATCATTTTGGTTTCATTTTCGTTGATTAAGAGGAAATTTTAACATAAGGCTGCGGTTAATTAATTTTCAGTTTCTCATGACCTGAGTTTGTGAAATATACATGCTACATGCGGTAATTATTAATTATTGAGATGAAATTTAATTTTTTTAGTTTAAACACAACAAAACAACAAAATGTTTGATCTAATTTCTACCCCCAAAAAACACGTCTTTGAATTACCTGCATTTAAGGCAAGAGATGGAGCATATAGAACAATGGCCATGTAGATTGTCTGTAAACAACAATAAATAAATTATGTATTCTTCTGATAATAGAAAATCTAATTATGTTAGCATCTATTAAAGACATTATTCAATATAAATTTTCAAGATAATTTAATGAAGTTAGTGCTGCTGACTAATTACTAGTACCAACGTCACAAAATCATATTATCTAATATATGATAAGAAGAAATCTAATATGTCACCATTTACTGATGAAAATATTCAAGTTCCAAAAGAGGCAAGCATATTCAAGTTTCGGGTTCTATGTAAATTTTGTTGTTGAAGAATCGACGTTAATTGTGGTAAAATGTCGACATTTGATTCGACATCAGTTAAATAGATAGGCCTCCACTAAAATACACATTTGTAGTTACGTGTGTCCTATGCTTCTATCCATAAAAATACATAAATAGTTATTTTTATATTTCTATGCGTGTGTCAAGCAAATATGTCATGAGACAGACGTCATTCATTAGATTCAAATTTATCAAAGAAAACATTAGTGAAATTAAAACATACATACCATTTGTGTAACATACGTACAGGCAGCAGCAACCCTTGCTATACGACCAAATCTTTTATCTAAATACTAGAAAATACAGTGTTATTATCAATATAGACTAAATAAAACCTTTATTATAGGACCAATTATACAAAATACAGTGGTTTTATTAATATAGACTAAATAAAACCTTTATTATAGGACCAAATCTACAAAATACATCCATTAAAGGACAATACTAGTGTCAGTCATTATAACATTTGTCATAGAACTGGTTAAACACGTTCCAAATATAATTTTCTTAAAAACTTCATAACGCATCTATCGTAGCAATGATTTCGGTGTTAAAATAATATTTGGAACGTGTTTAACCAGTTCTATGACAATGAATGACACCAATATTGTCCTTTAACAAATACTATCATTTAAAAACAAAACTATAAAGGACCAAACCATTTATCTAAATACTAACACGACCTGACGCATTCCAACTCAATGGGGCATAAGAAATTAAATTAAATGAAGTGGGGTTTAACGCCCTCCTGTTCGGCTCCAACTGGGCTAATGAAGACGGGCATACGCCATACAGTGTGCTATGAGGGAAATTTTTCCCTGTCAGCGGCATTATGGTCTACTCTTATATCGAAGTCCAACTGCCAAGGGATCTTTTACGTACACGCATATGTATACACGGGTCCCCGGTTTTTCGCTCCATCCGAAAGACTAGACAGCTGTCCTGGCCAAACCCTCTGTCCTGCACCACTGACAAGGAGAAACCACGCCGGAAAATCCCGATAAATTTTCTCGGCCAATGCGACCTCCAGCGAGAGCCAGCGTTTTACCCACTTAACCACAATCTGCTTAACAGAGTATTACAAAAGTCTTCTAATATCTCTGTAAAAGATGACTGCCTTCAACACGTGATACCACATCACGCGACGTCAATCATTGGCTCAGTGGCGCGTGCATTGTTTACATAAGACGTTTCTGAATCGGGCAGAAAGCTGCCCTTTACTCATTTTAATACCCATTTACACTAAATAGGAAATAATTATTACCTACAAATACGTCAAACGTCTTTATTTATTTTTCTAATACAATAAAAAAATGTTCTAGAATTTAATTTGTCGGAGGAAAAAAGTTAACATTTCTGGCTCATTAAATCACATCGATGTCATCCTTATCAGTGATTGTAGCGGCCTAGCGAATATTCACAGCTAATCAGTGTGAAATGAAATGAAATGAAATGGGGTTTAACGTCCTACTGTTCTGCTCCTAAACTGGGCTAATGAAGACGGGCATACGCCATACAGTGTGCTATGAGGGAATTTTGCCCGGACAGCGGCGCTACGGCCTACTCTTATATCGAATTCCAACTGCCAAGGGATCTTTTACGTGCACGCCAATGTGTACACGAGACCTCAGTTTTTCGTCCCATCCGAACGACTAGACAGCTGTCCTTGTCAGGCCCTCCGTCCTGCATCACTGACAAGGGGAAACCACGGCGGAAAATCTGGATGACTAATCAGTGTGAATTAGCCACTGTCGTTCCCCACTGGGACATATATAAGGATGATACATATACACAGTGCCAATGGGTATATACATCATACGCCGGCTTTGTTAAAGTTACAATTTCATATTTTTAAGTTATATTTTTAAAATTTATTAAAATAAAGCCTTAGAATAGATGGTATCTATAAACAGTCCTATACTTTTTTAAAGAATAATCCTATTAATCCTATAATTCACTATTGCCAGTTGAGAAATTGGCAAAAATATCATTTTCAACTTCAAACGTTTGAAGATAGCTATTCCATGGCGGGGGGGGGTTAGAAAAACAAGGGAGGTAACTGTGTTATTATTTCCGGTGTGAATGATTTTTAAGTGTGAGAATCATATCGTATAATACTGAGTTGACAACCTATTGAGACATAGAAATAATTATGTTTTGACTTTCTTAGAAAATATGAAATTCTCGCTTTATAAGCCAAAGTAGTTACAAACGCCGATACACTTAATAAAATACGTTGATTAGCTGTTTAAAATTTTTGTGTAATTAAATTTAGGTTGTTGTTGGAGCATTGTCAAATCATTACCATGACAACCTCGCTTAGTTACACCCCTGTTACATGTCATCAATAGCAAAATACGTTTAGTTGTTCGGATGGGACGAAAAACCGCCACAGAAAGAAATAAAACTACCTGATATAGCAGAACTGTGCCCATGGATACAGATCTACACTGCATCGCTTACACCCACGCCTTTGCTTACAGAGCGTTATCATTCGGATACGTTTTTTATGAATCCACGACTGGGAAGAAAAAGCCCGAGTCTATGCTCAAAACTGTACGGAGTTTACCGGGAGGACTCCAACTTTTCCTACATTTTACGTTTCCTTGTCAGTCACGGTGGTGCATCATTCATTAATAACAAGATTGTGAACGCCCAGCAGACTGACTAACCGGGGCGACGACAATATACGACCAAATTTCAATGTTGGCGTATCAAAAGATATTAAAGTGGACAACAATTAGTCCTCCGTTTCTTCCTGACGAAACATCTTCGTCTTTTGTCCTTCCCCTTGTTTTCTTTTTTTGTTATCAGTTGTGGGTTTCTGGTGGTCATTTAAATCGATGCTAAAAGTGGTATAATAGTGTGAGTCCTCCGTTTCTTCCTGTCTAAACATCTTCGTCTTTTGTCCTTCCCCTTGTATTTCTTTTTTTTGTTATCAGTTGTTGGTTTCTGGTGGTCATTTAAATCGATGCTAAAAGTGGTTTAATAGTGTGAGTCACCTCCAACTGAGATAATCCACGAATTACATCATCGAACACGATGTCCATCCCCTGTTATCACCCTGAGGTACATGTCGGAGATAAAGACAGCGAGACAACATATCCGCTCAATTTGGGACAACCCAACTCAACTCTAGATCATACTGTACACTGATCAACTGTGGATATCAGCTAGCCCGCTACAATCACTGCGAGGGGTGACATCAGTGCGGGTTAATTAACTCACAGTATTAACTTTTTTCCTTATACAAATTCAATTCTAGAACATTTTTTTGAAGCATTCAAAAAATAAATAAAGGTGTTTGAAGTATATCTGGATAAAAAATATTTCCTATTTAGTGTAAATGGGTATATAGAAGCCAATGATCGACGCAGTGTGATGTGATGTCAAATAAAGAAGGCATTTGAACTTGTAAAGGCAGAGAGAGAAAAAAATGGGTTTAACGTCCGCTCTACACAAACTTGGTCATTTTGGGCCAAACATGGTTCAATTTTATTCCTATAATTCGTTTGCGCGTAGGGGTCTTTAGCAGTGGGAGGAAACCGGAGGACCCGGAGAAAAGCCACAAGGTTGGACAGGCGATCCTCCTATCCTTGTCACGTACAACCAGCGAATGGAAACCATGCCAGTGACTCACTGACAGACCTTAAGATACAACCCGCACGCGCTACCCCCCCCCCCCGCCCCCCAAAGTTTGATATGTAGTATCCAAATCTATCTTCTTGTTATGGCATATGATTCGTATTATACTCCTACTTGCAGCCCGGTTGTACGTGACAAGGAGTAGGGTCGCCTGTCCAACCTCATGGATTTTCTCCGGTTTGGAAGAGAAGGAAAAATCGTCTTCAATAGCCCAGTTGGTGCAAAAAGGTTACACGTTAAACCCTATTTCATTTCTTTTCTACTCCTACTTGCACTGTAAAGAACATAAGACTAGTATCCATTTCTTCAAAAAGTTTGGAAATCGTGTTTTCCCCTGATCAAAAGAGACCAATCTTGCCCATTGAAGGTGCTCTCAGATCCCTTCAATAGCATACTTATTGTTAGTGACCTACTGGTGGTCCTGGCCTTTGCCGACATGACAAGGCTTGAGCATCTCTGTTCATTATTATTAAAGACTTATCTAATGATCAATTTAATCTAATGATATAGGCCTAGCCCTCCCAGTCCCACCATTGACCAACGTCGTGTTAGTGGCGCCAAGAATTGTCATCGCCTTTCCCGCCATGACAGGACTCAAACAACCAGGTCTAATATAATCCTTACCTCAAAAGCACTGGTGACACCAAGTCGATAAAATATAGGTATGTAAATGTGTGCTGCTGCGAAAATAGCGAAGAAATACGATACTCCAATCCACCAATACATCGTGGTATAGTTATACATCTCGGCTGGTGTCCCTAGCAACGTAATGGCCGACATGAAGCTGGCCAGTAGAGACAGGGCCACCGGAAATACCGACATATTGCCTCCAGCCAACAGGAAATCTTTGGTGGTATTCTTCTTCCGGTCTTTAATGGCGTAGAAAATACCAATTCCCGCCGAAACTAACAGCATGCAGACGAACAGGAAGTAGTCGATCCACGTGAACGTGTGCTTGCTTCCGGTTTGGTAACTGTAAAGTCGTTCGGCCATTTTGATGATGAATTAGGTCGCCTTATACGTGATGATTCCCAAACAGCAGATTGGTTTAGACCGTTGGTTTATTTTGGGAAAACCTGCAAAGATAATCCGAATCTATTTTAATAGTTTTAATGGCTTACAAAAGAAAAACAAAAAAATGTCAAGGAATTAACTTTGATTTAGTTTTTGTGTTCTTGATACTGATGTTAGAGTGATTAGGCATGTAACCGAACAAACGTGAAATGTATACAATCTTGTTCAAGTTCCAGCAGATCCATTTATTAAAACTAGTTTTTAGGAGAGTGTCAGATCTATTCTGGTATGCTGGTGTTATTGGCCTATACAGATCGAGTTGCCGAACTTATTTATTAACTTAATAGATCCGCCTTAGCTGGGTATAGCCTATTACTATTAGTGAATTTTTATATTGCTCAAACTGAAAATGAAATGAAATAGGGTTTTACGTCCAACTGTTCTGCTCTAACTGGGCTAATGAAGACGGGCATACGCCGAACAGTGTGCTATGAGGGAAATTTTGCCCGGACAGCGGCGCTACTCTTATATCGAATTCCAACAGCCAAGGAATCTTTTACGTGCACGCTGGACACAAACTAGGCCATTTCGGGACTAACATGGTTCAATTTATTTCATTAATTCGCTTGCGCGTAGGAGTCTATAGTAGTGGGAGGAAACCGGAGAACCCTGAGAAAACTCAGAGGTTTGAGATTTTTGACAAAAAATACAAAAAAATACAGAAATTAGAACTATTCTTGAACTATCTGGAACTGCCCGAAAATCACCTACATGTTCAAATTAGCGATAACTGACATTCACTTTTAAATCTGTTGTCGGTGATAAAACTTCTTATTTATATTAATTTAGTGTAAATTCACGCCCACAAGATAAAACATAATACGTCATTTTAAAGGTACTAACAATAACCCAAGCTCACGAGATAAAATATATTACGTCATTTTAAAGGTACTAATAATAACCCACGCTCGCGAGATAAAATATAATTCATTTTAAAGGCACTAACAATAACCCACGCTCACGTGATAAAATATAACACTTTTTTAAGGTACTAACAAAAACCCACGTTCACGTTATAAAATATAATACAGCATTTTAAAGACACTAACAATAACCCAAGCTCACATGATAAAATATAACACTTTTTTAAGGTACTAACAAAAACCCACGTTCACGTTATAAAATATAATACAGCATTTTAAAGACACTAACAATAACCCAAGCTCACGTGATAAAATATAACACTTTTTTAAGGTACTAACAAAAACCCAAGTTCACGTTATAAAATATAATACAGCATTTTAAAGGTACTAACAATAACCCACGCTCACGAGATAAAATATAACACATCATTTTAAAGGTACTAACAATAACCCACGCCCACGAGATAAAATATAACACATCATTTTAAAGGCACTAACAATAACCCACGCCCACGAGATAAAATATAACACATCATTTTAAAGGCACTAACAATAACCCACGCTCACGTTATAAAATATAATACAGCATTTTAAAGGTACTAATAATAACCCACGCTCACGAGATTAAATATAATACAGCATTTTAAAGGCACTAATGGACACTTTTTCCAATAATAAACACTTATCAAAAAATATGAACATGTATTTTGGGATAATTTATTCTCTAAACAAATTAAATTACAGAACATGAAATCACTTTAAAACTTCATAGTTATCGAAATGTCACATGACAGAATGTTGATTTCACGTGTTGGTCCATGTATAGAATTTACTGTTTCCATATTGTCTATTTTGTTTCGCGAATTTTGGTTTCTTTCCTACAAGAAGAATTCCTCTTAAATCCGCCTGCTGTATGTCACTGGTCTGTTTATAAGTACGTTTGGCAATTGATCGATGACACGTTTTTATACGCACACATTTGTATATTGACGTTGCCTATATCCATCCGTTCACATTTTGTTTGTGGACACTCTACGGGTCATAATCTGAAATATAGGTTATATCCCAAAGATCTCAATTCCTTGCGATATTGGCCCCTATGGACTAAGACTACGAATGTAGTGCGAGTTATATATAGACAATTTTTCCCTTAATTTTTTTCTCCCCTCTTCCTGCATTTTTTGGTTGACTTTTTGGTCTAGAATTGGAGAAAAGGGATCAAATTTGCAATTTCATAGCAGTTTTGGGTAATAGTGATGATATTACAGCGGAGGGATAGGGGGTGTAAAGTGTCTTTCTGCATTGCAATCATTGTGTCGGAAGTGAGATTTTCACCCCAGTCAACTTCAAATCCGCGTAGCAAAAAATCTAAATGGTCAACCCCCTACAAAATTATGATGAGGAGATTGCCAAATGTTGTCCTCATTGTGTCTATAAAGATTGGAACCAACGGAATGTTGAGCAAAAAGCTACGGCCTGTGATGTTACAGTCATTTAACATTGAAGTCAATGGGCAAATAATTGCTAGTCTGAGTCCCTATCGGACCGTAATTTCCTGAATTATCGCCCCTGGTTGAACAAACAAAAACGAGTTTTTAGCTTGTGAAACCTATTCAGGTCACAATTTTTACCCGATTTTAAACGCCGTTCAAATATATCACCATTACCCCATAATGACGGTTGAGTTCGAATTTCGTGAATTGGTTTGTGCCTTTGATCCTGTGTCACTGTCACTTATATCAGAGCATATATTAAATTTTAAATAAACATTGAGACGACTAATACCCTCCATATTAACTACAGTACTAAGAATATTATAAATATCTAAACCATCAAAACTTTGACGGCTATTATCCCCCATATCAAGAACATCACAATTTTTACGCGGTTATTATCTTCCATATCGAGTACATCACCGTAATCAGTATCCAAATGCTTATCACAAATATTCTCATCATTAGTATTTTCGACTGTGTTATATCTTGCTAAAAGAATTTTTTTTTGTACTTTCTGTGTATGCTTGCAATATATGTATATGATTGGAGTGTTTTGTCACATGCATTCATGGGCATGTGGATTTTGTTTTAAGAATCTATCCATTATTTTTGTCGCTTGTTCTTTGAGAAAACTATCCATTATTTGTATCTCTATGGTGCTATTTTTTAAGTTTGATAATAGCCTCAGACTGTTCATTACGTAAATACAAAGAAAAACTATGGGCGTAACGTCCCTCAGTTGTTCTTTCTATTTACAAAATCAACAGTCTTCGGCCATTATTCATCATTTACTCTTTCATACTACAGGTTGACCACTGCGCAGTTGCTACAGTCCTCTCCGGCCTATGGAAATGTTACTAATTATAACTTACATATATAAGTATTATTATACCTAGGTATGTATAGTATACTACAGATGTATATACCTTACATACTAGTCATATAACTGTTATCGGTGGCGGACGGTGCGGGGGGTTGGGGGGTGGATAGGGGGGAGAATGTTGAAAAATCAGGGTGTCAATCGGACGCATATCTGGACGCGAATATAACTTCCCGCCACCCCTATCATCCCAAACAAAAGAAAACTCAATAATAAATGAATTTTTATATTGTTATTTAGGAGGGGAGGTGGGTTCGATAGGCCGTAACCTGGATCCGCCATTGACTGTATGTAATACCTATATATGTGTACTATAGTACCATGTTAATACTATTATACCCAGACCCTGTATTCTACATTAACTATACATATAGCTTATATAAGTAGGTTATTTGTACCTATAAAAAAATATACATATAGCATTAACAGAGTGAAGATTATACTGATATACGGTGCAGTAGGCCTACAGCTCAACCGTATACATACTAAAAAAAAAAAAAAAATGAAATGGGGTTTAACGTCCTACTTCTTTTGCTCCTTTACTGGGCTAATGAAGACGGGCATATGCTATACATTATGCAAGAGTTAAATCTGCCTATTGCAGATCTTTCTTTAGGCCTGCAATGTTATCTAAACTATTAATTAAACATTAATTAACTTATCCAGACCATAATCAACTGTCGATGTCAACGCTAGCCTGCGATGTTTACTGGATTAGGATAATATTTGCTGCTCCAGTTTCATTCTTGATTTAATCATGAAATGGATAATCCAGACTATGTTTTTTATCGTACCGACTTTAGTAATGATGATCGAAGCTATGCCTAAAATTCAATCGCTAAAATCTCGGTTCGGAGTGGATTTATATGACTGAAATTTTCAGCAAACTCCCTTTACATTATCTAGTTTTTAACTATCATAGTGCGAACTGCCAGCTCTTTATCTAATCTCCCATAATGTATCTTTAATGATTTATATAACATTTGAGGCCAAACGAAATACCTGCAATGGGTAGATTTAGCACTTACATAATGCATCTGAAACTGTACCTATAGTACAAAGCATGGATGTTGGATGGAATATACATTTGAATACAAAACTAGAAAAATAAATAGATTGTGGGTTTGTATGCATCCATCACACTGGGTTATCGAACTTGTCCCAGATTTCAGACAGAATAGACATGGTGTGCCAACTATAAGGTCGTGTTTACCAAACGTCGCTCTGGCTTAAAGAGGTATCGGCGAATTGGAGATCTTTCCGTCAAAAGACATATCTTGAATTTGGAGATCTTTCTGTCAGAAGAAAATTCTTGATTCCGAGATCTTTCCGTTGCATTTGACCTATTAAAAGATAGGTTGCCAGGCAACGAAACATACGCTCACAACAGCTATATCGTCCGGGCAGTCAACAAGAGTTGTCGCATAATTTTACTTTTTTGGGTAATGAAACATTTATAATACATTAAAATCTGATTAAGAGTAACAACTCATTAAGTAATTATCAGAAAACCATTAGAATTTGTTTGGCTTTTATAAAGTTCTGACCCATGCTAACGCTTAGTATACAAAACTTTTAATATCATGGATTTAGCTGTTCAAGTCATAAAGATTCATTGATAATCAATATACTTGTTCGTCTCAAGACTTTAAACTCTGTGTATCAATCTGAAGTCAATCGGATGATAACTTTAGCCTCTAGAGCGTCAACAAGATTTTTCAAAGTGATCAAGGGCCATAACTCTGGCAGTAATTATCGGAAAA